AGGCTTGTAAGAGGGCAGCAGAGGTGGTGGCATGGGCAGCAGGGGACGGCACTGACCTGCTGCCCAAGTAGGAGCAGGGGGAGCTGACTGCTCAGCCTCCCCCCAATTCTCTGGATCATGAAGAACAGGTTCAACTGACTTCAGTTCTTACAACTACCTATCTACCTACCTCTCTGGTTTTAATATTGAGGGTTTCACTCCCATGAACCATTCATTCAGACTGTGACCTTTTGTTTGCCTTTGTGGTGCTGGAAGCCAAGCCCTTGCTCATGGTGGCAAGCGTTCTACCCCTGAGCTGAGCCCCAGCCCTGAATTGTGTTGTTTACTCTGCCCCTTCGCCACAGACTCAGCAAGCTCTTGGAAGCCAGCACCAGCCTGAGGTGCCACAGACTGGCAGTGCAAGGGCCTTAGGTTTATGGACACCTGCTCCATGCTGGAGAACAAGGCAGACCTGTTTCCTTAAAAAAAAAAAAAAAGAAGTGCTGTCCCCAAGCCAGGCAGGGAGGATATGTGTGCCTTGCTGTCCCCCCCATCCTCAGTTGTGGGGTTAACCCAGGTTCCTTTTGTGGCCTGTGCAGTGCTGGTGCAGGACGCAGAAGCCCAGGTGCCATGGGATATCTCCATCATCTGCTCCCTGCTGAGCATCATGAGGAGCCACTCAGACTCGGAGCAGCTCATCACCCAGGGCTACAGCCTGCTCACCATAATCTCTAGCCAGGGTGGGTGTGCCGGCCCTTCCTGCCTTGCCTCCTGCACACTCTAGGAAGCCGGGCTGCAGAGCACAAGCTGGGGAGGGCCAGCTTGGACACAAGCAGAGGTGGCACAGGGCCTGCTGCTGAGATAGCACGCCACATGGTCGGCAGAGGATCTGGTCCCATGCTGGTGGTTTTTCTGTGCTCTGGAGGCCAGGCTCCACTTTCACAGGCAGACTACATGCCAGGTTTGGCCACAGGCCTTGCACGTATGCATTTCACATTCACATGCTCTGTGCCCATGGTCAGGGGGGCAGCAGGCAACCAGGCTGTGCCCCAGTGGACGAGAGGTCCTCACCAGGCTCCCCTGGGACCAGGTAACACCCTTTCCTTCCTCCTAGCCCGCTCACAGGTGGGCATTGTCCTCCCAGAGGAAGCCAGGGCTCCTGAGAGCCCAAGGACACCCGTCAGGTTCTATGGTGGGGCAGGGCTGAGACCCAGTATGTGCCCACCACTCCAGACCTGATGACCTGTCATCCTTCACTGATCCACTCTTGTGACGTGAGAGGCCCAGGAATAGGCATCACACAATGACCAGGCAGGCTGTGTGCTGGGCTGAGGAGTTACAGCCGTGGGACTCAGCCTAGTCATAGGTGGGAGGTGCTGAGTGGCGGCCCAGGAAATGCACAGCACCTGGGAACCCAGGGCAGCGGTGCTCTGGGAAGGCCTGCTGGAAGGGCCTCCCTCTCTCCCACAGTGCAGGTCTCTGAGGAACTACAGAAGGCGGGGCTGTTTGAGCTCATCCTGGAGCACCTGTACAGATTCTCCAAGGACAGGGACATCTGCTTCAGTGCCTTGGGCCTGCTCTGGTCCCTCCTGGTGGATGGTGAGGCCCTCCTTCCCAGGCTCCCACTGCCTGACTCCCAGGAGGGACTCTGCCTTCTGTCTCTTGAACATGTGAGAGTGACCTTGGCCACTAAAGGGAGACTGGCAAGAAGAGTGGGAGGGGAAGGAGCCCAGTGTGTCCTGTCCAGTGGGCAGTCCCTGGCACCAGAGGTCAGCCAGAGAGTTGGATGCCTTATCCTGATTTTCAATGCAGAATAGGGGCCCCTAGGCCTGCACTGCCCCCTCTCCTAGGCCCCACCTTGGTACTCCAGAAAACAGTGCTCCAAGCCATGGCAAGCTGGGGAAACCTGAGACCCCACTGTCCCCAAGGTGCCAGAGTCCCCTCCAGACTCATCGGCAAGGATGCCCCCACCCTCCATCTGTCCTCTTACGTTTCTGCCCTGCTTGGTGGGTGGGAGCAGCAGGTGGGGCATGTATACAGTAGGCCCTCATGCACACACCAAATGCCTGGGTGTCCCCCATCCCTGTCTTGGATCCAGCTGTCATTGTGAACAAAGACCCTGTGGTGAAGATCCCAGCCCTGGTCATCCAGGTGCTGGACACCCACCCCACAGATGCAGAAATAGCTGAGGCAGGCTGTGCGGTGTTCTGGCTGCTGTCCTTGCTGGGTGAGGAGCTCAGGCCCTTGAGAGTGAGTGGGGAGGGCAGCCCTGGACACAGGGCAACCAGGTCCCTGTCCTCTGCAGGCTGTATGAGTGAGTGGCAATTTGAGAAGGTGGTGGAGCTGCTTTTGCAAAGCATCCGGCTGAGCCAGGAAAGAGTCCTGCTGGTGAATAATGCCTACCGAGGGCTGGCCAGCCTCGCCAAGGTGTCAGGTGAGCCCAGTGTTAGGGTAGAAATCAGCCCTGGTCAGTAATGTCTACAGCTGCCCACAAACCAAAACAGGAGGAACAAAATGACTCAGTCACATCATTGAGGAGGTGCCACCGAGGCTGCACACAACAGGCAGCCTCTGCCTTTTGCTTAATGCTGCCTGTTATCTCCCTTCCCTGTCCACCCCCTGTGGGTCCATGCAGGCTCTCAGCATACAGGTCTGCCTCCAATTCCTAAGCACAAACCCTGGCTCTTATTTAGTGCCTTGCGCCAGGCCCCATGCTGAGACCGGCAGTTATCCCTCACAGAGGGCACTTGGGGTCTGGGGACTGGCCAGTCACCAGAGGCGCATGGTGGGGCTGAGGCCTCTGCTCATGATCTTGACCTCTGTGCTGTGTGGCCTTCCTTAGAGCAGTAACTACGCTCTTGGGGAGGACTTCCGGCTCCTCACCTGGCTCTTCTGGCCATGCCAGTCTACTGGGCTGCCCAAGATGATGGGGTCTCCTAGGGGGAGCGGGGGCTGTCTCCTCCTGTCCTGGAAACCCCATGCTCAGCAACCCGTGTGGGAAAGGCTCAGCCCTTCTGAGGTCCCATGCCAACTCTAGCAGGATGGGTGGGCCACCTGGATGGGGAGCAGAGCTGGTCAGACTCCTGTATGCCTCTCAGCTGGGGTCTGGAGGTAAAGTGGCCTTTCCTCCTGGTCAGAGCAATGCTTGGGCCTCAGGTCCCACCAGCAGCCTACCACAGATTAGCTGTCAACTCCTTCTAGGGACAGCTGGGGAGGTCAAGGCCCTGGGGGGAAAAGGGACATGGTCTCCACCAAGGGAGCAGGACCTGAGCCAGGCCGGGTGAGTTGCAGCCCCACCACCTAGCCTGGTGAAACTTGCACCAGCATATGCCTCTGGGCCTGCCTCCCTAGGGAAGAGAGTACATGGGCCAGCAGGAGCAGAGCTTTTGCTGTGGGTGCAAAGCCGCACTGTGGGAAAATGGAGCCAGCAGAGCCCAGAGCTTGGGCCCAATGCTGAGTTTTCCCAGCAACCCATGAAACCAGTATCATCACTACCCATCTCTCAGGGGAACCTTGGGCTGAGGAACTGGCCCAAGACCAAACGCACAGTGCCAGCACTAGATTGGGAACCCTGTTACCTCCTCTTTCTTCCCCAGAGCTGGCAGCCTTCCGGGTGGTGATGCCACAGGATGGTGGCAGTGGCCTCACCCTCCTGCAGGAGACCTATCAGCTGTACAAGGATGACCCTGAGGTGGTGGAGAACCTCTGCATGCTGCTGGCCCACCTTTCCTCCTACAGTGAGGACCCCCTTGCCCTACCTGGGAGCAGTGGTCAGGGGGGAAGGAAGGAGCCCCACAGAGATGGCCCCAAACTTTCCACTCACCTGGCACCCCTGCACAGGGCATAGCTACAGCCCAGGACAATGTATGAACTATGGAACCCAGGGTGGCACTCTGCCCATGCCCTAAGTGGCCCTGGGACCCTGCCTTGCCCTCTGGCTGGGCTCTGGGTCTCAGTACCCTTTCTGTTCCACCAGAGGAAATCCTGCCAGAGCTGGAGTCCAGTGGCATCAGGGCTTTGGTCAGAGAGATCCAGGGGCGCTTCACCTCCAGCCTGGTGAGTGACAGGAGGGCCTTCAGCAAACTAGGCCAAGCCCCTACACGTGGGGACATGGGCTGGGCACGTTTACTTGGAGCAGGCTCTGAGTGCTGTGGGCAGACTTCAGCGACACTTCCCTGCCTATTACTCCATTTCTGGGACTGGGCCAGTCAATCCTGGGGGGAGGGGTGACCAGAGGGTTTCACAAATTGGTAGATTTCATCAGTTAATGGCTCCGACCCCAGACCCTCCAAGAGGAACCTGCCTATCCCTTCCAGGAGCTGGTCTCTTATGCAGAGAAAGCGTCCCTGAGTCTGGAGGCTGCACTGCACAGCTCCCAGGAAAGGAAGCTGTGTGGAGCTGCTGTCAGGGAGGAAGCAGCTGCTCCTAAGGTCCCCTTTCTCCCGGAAGGCCGCCCCCACCTGCCCTGAAGCACCTGCCTTCCTGTCCTAGGTGTAAGTGGGGAGTAGGACGTTAGAGACCAGTATGCACGTCCCGCTATGCCCAGTAACTAATAAAGAGGCCCAAGGCTGGTTCCAGTTATGTCCGAGTCACTGCTGGTGTAGAAGTGGCAGGTCATGGTGGCGCTTGGTGGCACAGTCTGCAGGACTTGAGGGTTCTAGCTGAGGGGAAGGAACTACCCTCCACAAGCTTCATTTGTTTATTGTTACATGGTGCTGGGGCAGGCCTGGCCCACGCAGGGGAGGTGAGTGCCCACCACTGAGCCAACCCAGCCCCACAAACTCCATGTGAGGTGAGCATCTGTCTCTGTGCCAGGGATGTCCTCTGTGGGTGCACACTGTCCACACAGCTATCAGATGGCCTGATGAAGCCCTGGGCTTGGTGCACTCCACTCCTGATCAGTTCCCAGAGAGATCCTCAGACCCGAGCCTGGCCTGAAGACCGCAGGCTGCCCATAGGTGCTCACAGACTGGCCAGCTTGGCTGCCCAAGGTTGGCAGGGAGCTTCAGGAATAGAAAAGTGTGTCCCGAGTCTCACATGACTGGCTGTGGGGAGAAGCCTCTGCTGGTCTGCTGGATGCTGGCCAACTGAGGTAAACAGGTGATAAACAGGACCCCACCCCCAGGAAGCCCTTCTCCATGTCCAACGGCCTCAGGCAAGTCCTGGTGGGGCAGCTGCTGTGCTATTCAGCTGCAGTCAGCAGCCACCTGCAGACAGGGTTTGAACTGGGGCCAACAAAGCCTATATCCATCACCCGCAACGATGGAGAGGCAGTGGCCTCCTCAGAGGAAGGAGCTGAGCACCCAGGGCAGTCAGGTCTTCAGGGACAGCCCAGACATCCCATTCTTCCTCTGGAGGTCAGCAGACAGTGGAGCCACTAGGCAACCCCAACCCGCTACCACTTCCTGGCTGTGCCTAGGACACACCCCTGCTCATCCTGCCCTAAACACCCAGATGCAGCAGAGGCCAGAGGGAGAAGGAAGCCCCATGGTTCTGGCTTTGAACACAATTCACCCCTGTCCCACTTTGGAGCGACTCCACTGGTCCCAGGATCTGGTCCCCACTGCCACTGGACGGAGGTGCTTGACAGGATGGAGGGTGGGGCAGCGGGAGCAGGCAGCAGGCTAGGAGTTCTCATTGCAGCTGTCTGGGGCAGAGGCCGGGGGGCGCCTGTCTCCTGCAGTGTTCTCCCACTCCCTCTTCACCATGACATAGAGCCTCATTGCTGCCTGGGCATCCTGGATCTGGAAGGAGCACTCATGCCAGTGGTGACTGTGTGACACACAGAGCCACCCACCATCAGTGAACCCCTCACCTACAACAATGGAGAGGCAGTGGCCTCCTCAGAGGAAGGAGCTGAGCACCCAGGCCAGTCAGGTCTTCAAGGGCACCCCAGATGTCCCATCCTTCCTCTGGAGGTCAGCAGACAGTGGAGCCACCAGGCACCCCCAACCTGCCATCCCCTCCTGGCTGTGCCTAGGACACACCCTGACTTCCTGCCCTTGCACACCCCTGCTCATCCTGAGCCCTTCAGGCCAGCCACTGTGCTGGGGATGTGCAGCCGAGTGAAGCACACACTTGGCAGGAGACCTCTGCAAGATGGGGAAGAAGACGTGGAGTGGTCACCCACCCACCCCCCACCCTGCAGTTCTGTGACCTATCTACAGAAAGAAAGGAAACTCAGAGGGATGAAGGGGTGAGCACTGCCCTTTAAGGTTCAGCAGACATCAGGGATACAGAGTATCAAACAGTGGGCTGGGGTCTCTGCCCTGCAGCACAAGGGCCCAGAGAGCTGCACGCCACACTGCAGGCAAGAGACCGTCCTGGTCAGGAGGGCAGGGGGCCTGGGCCACTGACTATGGTTTGGATGTACCTTGCCCCCAAGGTCCTCCATGAGGCAGCATGCAGGTAGCAGACCCGTGAGAGTGGGCCAGTGGGGTCACTAGGGAGAGCCCTTGGGAGGCCTGAAGCAGTTCTTGGGCCTCAGTTAACTGTTGTCAAAGTGTTGCTATAAAAAGATCCCCTCCAGGGCTGGGGCTGTAGCTCAATGGGAAAGCACTTGCCTTGCATGTATGAGACACTGGGTTCAATCCTCAGCACCACATAAAAATAAAGATACTCTATGTTCATCTACAGCTAAAAAAATAAATAAATAAAAGACACCCCCACCCCCCTTTCCTGTACTGGATGTGACTCTCCCATAGGCTCCTGCCATTGCACTACATCTGCCATGAGATGAGGCCTTTGCCAGAGCTGATGCCAGTGCCATGACCTTCAGCTCTAGAACCATGAGTTATTAGCTTTGGGAATTCCATCTCAATAACAGAAAATGGGTCAACACCACCTGATAAGACTGCTGAACTTTTTTCCAAGTGTTTACATTCAGTATTTTTTGAGTGTTAACTGGATATAAACGCTGAAGACTTAACACATCATAAGCATGCTTTGCTGTTTCATTTGTTTTAAATTAACAGCCTCCTAAGGAAGCTGTCCAGGCCCCATCTCTCTCGTGTCTGCTGTCAGGTGACATGTGCTTGAGTTTCAAGATCAGGGACAGCTCCCAAACCCAAGGACTGTCACCTAGGGACACTTACCGAACAGTGCTCTGCCTGCTGGACCCTGATGCCCAGGATTTTCTCAGAAAGTAGTTTCAGAGATGGCCTCCCACTCTGCAAAGGGAAAGGAGAGAGCACAGTGTGCAGGGTGGCTGCCTCTGTTCAGGAGGGAGATGGCTTCCGAGTCCACCCTTCACTGGGAGTGCCAGAGGCATTGAGGGCAGCAGCCACCAGCCAGGACAGGCTGGTGACCCCACCCCACCCCCCCACCACACACAAGGCAATCTTAAAGGCAATGCCAGGCTGGCTCAGTGGCAGAGCACTTTCCTAGCATGTGAAGGTTCCATGGTTCCATCCCCAGCACTGGGGGAAGAAAGGGGCCAACATCTCTTTCCATCCTCGGCCCCTGATGCTTCCCAGGGGCACCATCTCTCCCTTGGCACCCTATAGGGCAGTGAACACCTACTCGGGGGCCTGCCTTGGGACGAGTGTGTGGAGGACTCGCCCCCTCACACTTGTTTTCAAGGTTGGCAATGAACAGATTCTACCTTTTCTTTGAGTGCTGGGGAAGGAACACAGGGCCTTGTACTTTAGGCAGGCTCCACCCTGACCACGTCCCCAGCCCCAGCTTGTTCTTTTTTTTGGAGGCTGGTATAGTGGATTGAACCCAGGTGTGCTTAATCACTGAAGTACACCCACAGCCCTTTTAATTTTTTATTTAGAGACAGGGTCTCACTAAGTTAGTTAGGGCCTCACTAAGTTGCTGAGGCTGACCTTGAACTTACTATTTTCCTGCCTGAGCCTCCTGAGCTGCTGGGATTACAGGCGTGTACCTCCATGTCCGGCCCTACTTTTTTTTTTTTTTGTAGTTGTAGATGGACAGAATGCCTTTATTTTGTTTATTTTTATGTGGTGCTGAGGATTGAACCAGTACTTCATGCATGCTAGGCAAGCACTCTGCTGCTGAGCTACAGCTCCAGCCCCCTACTTGTTCTTTTTAAGAATCTTTTCAAAGGTTAAAAGTAAAAACAAACCTTAAATCTGTGAAATCATAAGTCTTAAAGGCTAATTTTATTTTTCTTAATACAATTTGTAAATGTTTATCTGTGAACCACCTAAAATCATTAGAGGTATGTACATCTCACTTTGGGGAATATATAATAAAGATATAAAAACAGAAAGAAAAAAAAAAAAGTAAAAACAAAACAAAAAACATTTTAACCAGTAAGTCAGCTACCAGGGAGCAGAGTGAAAACATCTGACAGAAGCCACACTCATTTTAAGTACCTTTACTTGACTCTTGAAAGGTTTGTATTTCTGGGTGTCCCGGATTTTCTTTTTTGGATGATCAAGAAACAGCACCTAGAAGAAAACAGGGACAAGCAGTTTCAAGGTGTACTAATGGAACCTCTTTTTCCCACCACCTTAACAAAAATCCTGAAATCAAGGAAGCAGAGGAAAGAGAGTCATTAGGAAACAGCATTTTGAGCTGGTTCTACATACCAGGAAACTAAAAAGATTTCAATAGCTCATCCTGTGACTTCAGCCCAGTTCCCCGAATCAGTGGCCCTCCCATCACCTGTGGCAGTCTCTGAAGGTGATTCCACACACAAGTGGGAAAATGACTTTTTTTTGATGCTGGGGATGTTCAAGTACTCAACCACTGAGCTACATCACCAGCCCTTTTATTTATCTATTTATTTGCTTCTTCGTCTTTTTAAAATTTATTATTTTTTTTAGTTGTATATGGACACAATATCTTTGTTTTTACGTGGTGCTGAGGATGGAACCCAGGGCCTCACATGTGCGAGGCAAGGGCCTTACCACTGAGCTACAACTTCAGCCCTATTTATTTGTTTCATGGGAAAAGGCCTCATTAAGTTGCTGGGGCTGGCTTCCAACTTGCAATCCTCCTGCTTCAGCCTCCCAAGTCACTGGGATTACAGGGTGCGCCACTGCACCCAGGTCTTTGGTTAGCTCCCAACAGTTGAACATTTATTTTATTTATTTATTTTTTACCATTTTGGTGCTGGGGATTGAACGCAGTCCTTGTATTGCTAAGCATGTGGTCTGCCACTAATCTCTCTCTGAGCCCCAAACATTTAAGAGGAAACTTTAAACCACCACCAAGGTTCCTGAAAAGCCTGAGGCTGCTAGATATCCATGGGACATTGATCAGCTGCAGCAACACACCCAGGAAGGATAATGTCCATTCTGTCTGCCCACAGGGTTCTAATCTGCAGGACCCTAAGGAACAGAGGCCGAGGCCACAAGCCCTAAGGAACCACCCACTCCCACCAAGTTGGCCCCACACTGGCCACCTGGGAAGGAGGTGAATCCAGCTGGAATGACTGCCAGAGGAAGCCCTCATCCCTTCCCCGCCTACAGGGCAGCTGAAGAGGCAGCAGAAAGGGGCAGGGCACCTGGGTCTGCAACAGGTGTCACACCTGGGAATGTTCTCAAGCTCACTGAAGCTCAGCAGCACAAGCCTCCACTGTTCTGTAAAGGGTTAATTGAGACCTCCCCCCCCACCCCACCCCACTCACAGAGTGTAGGGATGGCACAGGAGGCTGCTGCCTGGACCTCAGAACACTACACTGGAAGCCTGTGCTGGTGGCCATGGCAAGAGTCCACAGGCATCTCTCCTGCTGGCAGCCCAGGCTCTTGCTTTCCTTTGGCTTCCGTTTTCTTTTTGGTACTGGGGATTGAATCCAGGGGCGCTTAACCACAAAGCTGTATCCCCAACCCTTTTTATCTTTTGAAACAGGGTCTCGCTAAGTTGTTGAGGCTGGTTTTGAACTTGTGATCCTCCTGCCTGCTTCTCAAGCCCCTGGGAATATAGGCATGTGCCACTGTACCCAGCTCCCTCTGCTTCCTTTGAACCATTCAAGCATTTGCTCACCAACTGAAAGTGACCCATGCCCTATGCCCAGCTGGGCTTTCCCCAGGATGCTGGGGGAAACACAAGGCCAGGCTCCTAGCATCAGAGATGCTCAGTACCCACCACAAAGTCAGATGAGGGCCAAGGGTGTCTGCTGCATAAACAAGTTTCTGTGCAAGGGACCCTGGTCACAGGTGGACAACCAGTCATCAGGCCTTCCCCCAGCTCAGTCAGGTATCCCACGAAAGGTACCCTGTGTGTCCTGTGGCCACAGCCCCTTCTTTTCCTTAGGGCAGGATATCAGCCCCTCAGGCACTGGAGTCCCACTGTAGCTTGTGGTTCTCAAAACAAGTGCTACACACCTCCTGACATCCTGAGAACCAAATAAGCAGCATCCAAGTATTCCCAATGTGGGGTCATGGGACAAATTCAAAAATAACAAGTCCCATAACAATACTTCTAGAGACAGACATGAGAAGGTAAGTGCTGCACACATGAGAGAGAGTGGGCCCTATGTCCCCAGGAGGTCAGAACCCAGCACCTTTAAATCATTGTGAAGCGCGTGCCCCACCAGGATTCTGCCCTTGAGCATTTCTGCCACTTCCCTCTGCACAACCTCAAGCTCTTCTCCTGAAAATCAAAACAGAGAAGTGAGTTTTGGCAACATAAACCACTGCCAGGGGTGCTCCATGCTACCCCTGACCAGACCAAAGCTAACAGGCCAAGTCCCCAATGCCATGCAACTGGAAGCCTCAGAGGTTCTGGTGGACCTGGGCGTGGGGAAGCCATGAAGGACCCACGGGCGTAGTTGTCTTGGGCTCCCTCCCACTACCTGCTCCCATCTCGGCCCACAGGAGAATTCATAAGCACCAAGACTCTCAGAGGCATCTGACAGTGCAGTCAGCTTCCTGCAGTAACCAATTGTCAGGCTCAAGCGCTGTGGTTTTCCAGGTAGAAATAAAAGGAAGACTGTACCATGGACAGCAGAAGCTTTGCTGCCCTAGATCCTCGGCTCGGGAGGCAGCTCCATCTGCTCCCTCGTCGCAGGCACCCTTCAAGGACCACCTTACCCCCACGCCACCCAGGAGAGCCCTCTCCCACCCTTACCCCCAATCCCACCAGAAGTCTCACAGAACCATGCTTGCACCATCTGCCTGCCCAGTCCCGGCCAGAGCTGATCAGACCAGCTTCCCTCCAGGAACTGAAATCAGGAGATGCTGGTCAGTCTAGGGTTCTGAGTAATGGCAGGGCCATCTTGATGGCCATATGCCTAGGAGAAGCAGACAGGCAGTGTGCAGAAAGGCCACATGGCCCAGGACCCTGATGATGACCACTAGGTTTCTTCAGGTGGCAAGTATCAGAACCTCCCAGGTGATGCCCGCTATCACATCACATGCAGACTTGGCCTCTGCTATATCCAGGGTTGGAGTGCTTCTGGTCACCTTACAGTCATCTCCCCTCTGCTCACCACCAGCTGACAACCCTTCCTATTTCTACCCCATTCTGAATGTCACCCATAGGAGGCCTATTAGAATAGAGGCTAGACCAGGCTTCTCACTGCCTTCCCAAGGCTTCCCAAAGGGACCTGTGATCTGTCCCCGAGATCCTATCCCCAAAGCTCCCAATGGCCTCTTTCCTGATCCCCAACACACTCAGTCCCCACTGCACATAGCACAAAGCAATTCTAGAACCACCCTGTTTTTTAATAGGTGTGGGGGACACCAAAGCAAAGGAAGAAAGGGCAGGGAAGCCACGGGAACACACTGTTCCTCCTGGAAGGCAACCACCCCCGGGCACAGCACACAGGATGCCGAGTGACCCTGAACAAACTAGGGCAGCAGGGGCAGAGAAGAGAACATAGGTGCTGCTCCCCAGAGCTCCTGCACTGTGGGTGCCATACCCTGCTTGAGCTTCTCGGGCCGAATCCCACTGACCGCTGTCCTGTAGTCTGTCACGGGCTCGGTGGGCTTCACGTACTTGTCATAAACGCACTTCCCATACTGGTTCACGAGGGACACGCGGGCCACGATGCTCTCCTCCCCCTTGGGGCCCACGCCCACCATCTCACAATCCAGGGCCAAGGCTCTTGTCAGGCTGAGGGAACCAGAGGCTCAAGTGTAACAGGCCCTGCAGCCCAGGATGCAGGCCAGACCCTGAGGGAGCCTGGGTGAGGCCCTGCATCAATGCTGCGCACCCGTGACATGCTGTGCCACACCAGTTCTCAGCAGGGTCCTGGGTTGTGCTTGCTCCATTCAACCAGAGGAAGGGACCCTCTGCCCTGAAGAGCTTACACCCCAGAAGTCTGGAAATCCCCAGCTGCCCCAGCCCCCAGCCCCCAGCCACGCATACCCGTGGAAGGCCTGCTCCTTCACCAGGGTGGTGCTGCTCTCCCTCTGGCCCAGCTGCCTCCTTGCTATCCTGGCTGCCTCTGGGCCTATAGCAGCTTCGATATCTGCTGGATCAACATCATCAAACCAGATGTCTTCCCTAAAAGACAAAGACAAAAGCAGCTGACCACCAGAAAGGTCTGGCTGTTGGGGAGAGACTTGGGGTACAGGTGGGCTCAAGTATGGTGGAGACTGCTCCTCCCACAAACATTGGCCTGGCTGTGGCTACTGTTTGAATCATTGTGACACTTTCCTTCCAACTCCTTTCTTTTATCTTTATTTTATTTACTTATATGTGGTGCTGAGGATTGAACTCAGGGGCTCATACATGCTAGGCAAGCACTCTACCACTGAGCCACAACTCCAGCTCCACCTTTCTTTTAATTAGCAAATATGCTCATACTCAAGATCCACAAAGCAAAAAAACCCAAAGAACATCAAACAGAAACAGATAGTTCCCTGTCAGCAGGACGATGGCTGCTGTTTTCTTTCTAATTACACAAGTAACAGGCTCACCATCCAGTGACCAGGATACACAGACGGGCACCAGGGCAGAGTACACACAGACCCCCACCATGGTCTGCCCGTTTGCCTGCCTGCTGCACTCCAGTCCTCAGGCTCTGCTTCAACGCCATCCCTTAGAAAGGTTCCTCCTGACTCCACTGGATGTCCTTCCCTCTTGTTGTGTGCCTATCCCCTTCTCCCTCACTTGGTCCACCCTGAGTATACTCCAGTTACTAAACGGCTTGTGTCCCTTGCTTACTATCAACCTCCAGAGGGAAGGACCTTGATGACAGCTCCACTGCAGGTAGCCTGCCTGGCACAGCACAGGAGGTGCCCACACGCTGCTTCCCTCTGACCTTCAGCACCCAGGCAACACCAAGTCAGCCTCTGGCTCACAAGCATGTCTCCCCTCCAGGTGATCACCACAGTGCTTACTGAGTGGTCACCAGCAATGAGCCAAACATGCTGTACCTAGGTCTCCTTGGACTCCACAGATGGCCACACAGAGGGAAGGGGATGCCAGGAGTCCATCCACACTGTCCTACTGGTGAGAAGCAGAAATGGGCCTTGCATACAGGTCTGCCTGGCTCCACGCTTGCTTACGCTACAGGGCTTTGTTGGTGCTCACTAAGCACAGAGCTCTGTGCTAGACCCTGGAGACATGGTGGCGACCCTGAAACAAGCTCTGCCTTCATCATACCTACACTCTGGGGAAGAGGCAAGAAGCAGGCAAGCAGGAAACAAGCATCAGGCTATGGTGTTGGAGGTACCTGGCCAGTGGCCTCTGTCCCTAGGGAGACAGGCCTCAGCACCTCTGTCCTCAGTGGTGAGGACGGGGCCAGAAGGCCTGCACCACCACAGCACAGCCACCAGTACTTACTCAGTGGGCAGGGCTGGAGCTGAGGCCACGGCTGCTTCCTTAGCTTTCCGCTTCTTATGCTTGATGTTCCCTTGTTTCAAAGAAATATCACCATTTGTCCTTTTCTTGGCTCCTTTCTTATGCTCTGCTCCCTTGGCCTCTGCGGGAGGTACTGGCACGATCCTTTCCTTCCTAGATCCAGAGGGAACAGAGCCCCCTGTGGCCTCCTGGTCTTTTTTTGTTGGCATCTCCTCTCCCTTGACTTTAGCTGAGGTCTCTTTTCTGTTCTGTTGGTTAAGGTGAGGCTGCTTTTTTGGATCCGTCTGAGAGACAACAGGCTTTTCTGGGGTTTGTGATGTTTGCTTCAGCAGCTAATAGGACCCAAAATAAAATACAAGCCACATTTTAATTTGGAATGACATACCCATGTTGAAAAACATGTATGCACATATGTACAAATGCACGTCCATCACATCTACACATGTTGTGGTCAGCACCACTGATCTGGCTCTGAATAGTTTGGAAAATCCTTTTTCCATTCTTACCTAAGTCACTAGTGGAGAGGTGCCTTTTTTTGCTTCTCTCACATAATGCATAATTTTACACCCACTTTTCTAGTCCTACAAAACTTCAAGCTAACATTCTATACTTTAAAAATCTGTTGAGCAACTAAACTTCACAGAGCACTTTACCGAGTGCCTGGGAAGAGGAGACAGGCAGCTTTTTTCACTTGAATAAATTTGGAATTGATTTTAGGGTTAATTCCCTTGTGACTCAGATCAACATTTCCCTCACACCATCTCTAGGCTTGCTACTGTTCAGGGCCTCAGGAAGACAGAGGGCCATGTTCAATGGAAAGAAAAGCTGCTATCAAATGGGTGGCAGGAGGTGCTCCAAGGTCTTGGAGCCCAATTTCCTCTTTGTGTTCAAATGCCTTCTGGGCTGTTGTCCTCAGTTAAGACATGTGGCAGCCAGTTGACAGCGATGAGGTAGGTTTCTACTTTATTATTTCTATAACAGTTAAAGACCAAACGATTTACTTCCTTGCAGAAATCACAGAAAAACCAGTTTTCCCTATAGTGAACAACCCTTCTATGCATTTGATTACTTTCCTGTAAGAAAGAGAACAAACCTGTACTTAGGAAATCATACAGAACCCTGGGGTTGCCCATAGGCCTGTAACAGGTTCTTAGTGTCAAAAGAGAAAAATGATTTGGAACATCCACATTAAGATACAAAGCAGAGTGTCGGGGTTCAAGAAGTTCTTTATCCTCTCCCTCTTTTTCACCAAGGCTCCATGAAATACAAGCCAGAAAACTGTCTGAAGGTTGGTCACAGTGAAGAGCACAAACTCAAGTAAGAATGTTGTAAATCTGGCTCTCAGCTCTGCCATTTACTAGCTGTGTGACCTCAGGCCAAGTCGCTTAAGCTCTGTGTGCCTCAATTTCCCCATGAGCGAAACAGGGACAGTAACAGCAGCTAACTCTAAGTGACTAAGGACTTGAAAGCGGAGCACAGGGCAACCTCTACAGTCCTTCCGGGTCGGCCTGCTGGGTGAGGCCCTGTGCCCAGCAGCAAACCTGGGTCGTTTACTGCAGCTGTAAGGAGACAAGCCTCTCGGGTGTTAGCGGGGTAGGTAGAAACACAGCCCAGATCCTGTGGCAGGTGTCAGTACGTCTCAGGTGCTTAACAGCGGCGGCAGCTGTCATCGACGACCAGCTCCTTCAAAGCCCGCGTTGCGGAATCCTCTATACCTCGTGTCTGCCACCGGCACCGGCTAGCCACAGGGTCTCTCAAGTCCCCCCCGATGGCCTCTCCTGCCAACGGTTCTCTCTGTAAGGATGCTTTTTTGCGGCCACTCCGTTCTGCGCTCTGCGACGCCCCAACCAAAAGCCTTGGGGTGCCTGCGTTGGCCCCCGCCCCGACTCACCTCCCTCAGCGCCTTCCAGTTTTGAGAAAAGTCTTCGGGTGCCTTGGGAGGCCGCCCCACGGCCACTCTGGGGACGCTTCCCGGCGTGCTGCTTCCTTCTCGCGCTTTGCTCTTCCAGAACCTCTTCTTGCTTCTCTTCCGCGCGAGCTTCCCGACAGCCCCCGGATGAGCGGCGAGGATGCTCGCGGCGCGCTCGGAGGCCGGCGCCTTCGCCTTCGCCTTCATCCCAGTATGTCCCGCGCGCCGCTGCAGCTGCGCAGCGAGCTCCAGGCCACGGGGTGCGGGCCCCGCCCCGGAAGAGGACGGCGAACGACCCCGAAAGCGGCAGCACACGACCGGCGGGCCTCCGCAGCGCGCTCCAGCGCCTGGAAGTGCTCTTCCCTTAGCGACTCGCTGGAAACCGGGTGTACGCCTTTGGTTCCGCACGGCCGGGAGCGGGGAGGGACCATTCTCTTGCTCGGAAATAGGGCCGGCGCCCTGGCGAGCGGCGCCGGGGGTCAGCCACCCAGGGTCGGGTTGGAGCCTGGGGTCCCACTGAGATCCGGGGTGGAGTTGAGAAACGCGAACACCGGAAGGGATGGGAGGGCCCGTCCTCGCGCAGCACCGCGCCGGAGCGGCCGGAAGGGGGCGGGCGAGCGTTGCACAGGACGCGGGGGAGCCCGAGCGGGTCGCGCTCACGGGTCCCCTGCCCTGGGGCTGCGAGGCGGCCCGCAGGTTCTGATGTTCTTATCAGAGAGCGATGTCACCAGCACGCCAGCTCGGCTCCGGGGTTCGGGGGTGCCCCGCCGAGCTGCAGCCGCCCCCGAGGAGTCGGGCGGGCGCTGCGAGGGTCCGGGCCCTGCCCCGGCGGTGCCGGAAGCCTGCCCTCTCCCCAACCCGAGCCAATCACCAGGACGCGGTTTCGAGGAAGAGGAAAAAGAAGTTATATTGTTTTGCCAGCAAAAGAGAACGGGACTCTTGGCCCAGAGGCTGTGGTTCTGCCCGTCACGGGAAGGGGTTAGAGGTGATTCCCAGGCTGCGTGGCCCGGTTCTCTGTTGGAGTTGGAAGTCACGTGTTCACTTGGGAGCCAGTGGTTTCTGAGAACTCCTGGGCCGTCCCCAGGTCTGAAGGGCTTCGTTCCTGTGGTGGGTTTGTACTCAAGAACTGGAAGTCTGCCTGGAATGGGGAAGAAGGGTGACCCCGCTCCCCCCACGACCCGAGTTTGGGGAGCGGGGAGAAACACGTTCATTTAAAAAATAAGTGGCGGTGGCAGAGAGCAGGGTCTGTATTCAAAGCATAAAGAGGACGGTGCTGTTTCGGGAGGACCCCCAGAGGGAGGCAGGCCCCATCCCAGGAGTGGTGTCCCCACAGGGAAGTGGACTCCAACTTAGGCCATGCGGGTCCTTGACATTTTTCCAGAAAGGGATTTAAGAACAGGTCAAAGTGAGGCATACATTGATTTTTATCTGGAGAAGGCAAGAAGTACACAGAGATGGTAGAGTGCCGGCATTGAAGAGGAGAGAGCTGACTTCACCTGGGCCAGTCGTGTTTATATACGTAAAGTCCATACAGACACGATCTAGGAGGTTATTTGCAGTCCCCCTTTGTGTGGGTATATTAAGTATTACTGTTATCAGGTGGCTCTAATACCACCCAGAAGGAAAGAGGAGAGGCCATACTGCTTTCTGCTCTAGAAGTATTTGGAGTCAATTTGACAGGAAAATAGGTTTTATTCAGAGCCATCTTTGAAGAAAGATAGAACATTTGAAACTAAGTTTCTTCTATCTCCGAAATCCCTGATATTATAACTTTTAAGGGAGAAGAGACAGGGAAGTGCCAAAAGGCAGCACATGTATGCAGATTAGGTGGCCCTTTCTGCTCCCATCTTTGGCACCTGTCAGGACTGGGGTGGGGATGCACCCTCCACTCTCAGCATGCGGAAGCCATTCTCCATTTCAGATGAGGGCCCTGAATTCAGTTTCATTCTCTACTAGGGATTGTTTTTTGATGTTTTTGATGAAAAATCTGTGCTGATTTCCCTTGGGGGGTGTTCATTGTTCTGCGTTGTGAATTTAAACAGTACTGCGTTGGTGTAACATTGAGAACTACTTGAGAGTATGACGTGTGAATGAAGACATCGGATTCTCGTGGTATAAATCAGAAATATCTATTTGCTGAGCAGTATTCTGGGACCTGTTTTTCTTTCTCCTCCCTTTACTAATTGGCACATTATTATCATACATAATAATAGATTCATTGTGACATACTCATATTTGTATGTAATATAGGATCTGTTTTTCTTTAGGTCCAGGTAAGGAGAGAGGTTACTAAAGGACCTATGGATAAGGATAAGGGTTGCCAATCAATTTATTTTTGTATTTATTTTTTAATATTTTATTAGTTATTGATGGACCTTTATTTATTTGTTTATATGTGGTGCTGAGAATTGAACCCAGTGCCTCACACATGCGAGGCAAGCTCTGTAGCCACAACCCCAGCCCCTGACGATCAATTTAATAGTATTATTTGTGATCAAAGTATGTGGAAGGAGCACTTAAATCTACCTTTTAAAACACCGGCAGAAGACAGGAGTGCATGGTGCAGGGAGGGGCAGCTTACCTGGTGGTGACTGAGCAGGAAAGAGAGAGGGGAAGGGACCCCAGGACCCCCACACTCCCTTCAGGGGCACACCTCCAGTGACCTAATTTCTCCCCACTAGACTCTACCTCCTAAGGGTTCCTCCACCTCCCAATATTGCCACAGGCTGGGAACCATACCTTTCATATATCAACCATAATGGGGAGCGGGAGGGGTGGGGAGCACAAAGAGTGTTTTGGAGCATGTTAAAGACCTTCCCAGGAGATGCATTGGGGTTGCTAGGTGGGTTTGCAAGGGTGAGTGTAGAGATGTGGGGCTATGTACCTGCTCTGTGACTCTCCCCATGGGGTATGGGTGCAGACTGGACAGGTAGTTGTGGGGGCATAAGGGTGTAGATGTCCAAAAAAGAGCAGCACAGGGAGGGCCACAGTCTTCTGGGTGAAGAGGACAGGTGCAAGGGAGGGAGTGTGGGAAATGGGTGTGGGGTGGGGAGGCCAGCTGCCAGGGCAGAGCTCTGATGCCTTTTATGCAGCCTCTGGTCAGCCAGGGTGGAGACCTCCAGGGTACTATCTAAGGCCTGGCATTCCACGCAAGCCTCTGTCTCCAGTGCCCTGGTTCAGAGCTCCCTCTTCTTCAGACTGGAAGAGGCCAGGTGTGCATGGCTGGGGGGCTCTCCTGGTGCAGGTCCAGGTTGGGGTCTGTCCCAGAGCAAGGCCAGGTTGCAGCAGGAGGAGCTGCCGACTGCCCATCCCACTGCCTTGCCTGGGAGGAAGTTCCCTAGAGTCCCGCCCAGCCCGCCCAGCCCACCACAAGAACTTGACATTCCATCCTGACCAGATTCTGTGTCACCAGGGCCCCTCTCCTGCCACAGGGGCTTTCCTGAGGATGAGCCAGCTTCACCCCTGGGTGAGATGCCAGCTTCTGTCCGTGGCTGGCGTCAGGGGAGTCCTTGCTGGTGCCTTCTTTGTCCTGGGCTGCTTGGCACTCTCCGATTTCCAGCAGGTGGGCTCATAGCAGGAGCTAGCTGTTCAGTCTTGGGGGGCGGGGGGCGGGGCTGCCAAACAGCTCTGAGGATGTGTAGACCTGGTCTTTCAGCTGACTGTATCAGCTTCAGGCATACTGGGTGGAGGAACCCGAGTTTGGTGTTTGGGGGGAGAAAGGGGCTCACTGAAGAGGGAATTGGTTTCTCCCTGTGAAGGTGACAGACACGTTTTTCCCAGACTGTGAAAGTCACCCTTCTTTGCCTCTCCCCGCCTAGCCAGCCCCTGCTCTCCCTCTCCCTGCTTCTGACTTCCTCTCCTTGATCTTGCCTCCTGCCCCTTCTTCCTCCTCCTTTCTGTCTTGCAGAACTTTCTTCAGGCCCTGGAGCCCAAGGACCTGGCTTCTTACTTTGGCCCCAGTGCTACCTTTGAAGGTACTTGCCCTGGTGTTCTCTTAGCCAGGGGAGTTTTTCAGGATTTGGGTGGGGTACCTCCCCACTGAACCAGTTCCAGGGTTTTTGATGGCTCTGGAGGGAGGAGGTCGGAGAAGTTGTTTCACCCCTGTTAATTAGCTCTGTTACTTCCTGCCAACTTGATAAAGCTGCTCTGGGTATTCTGGCTGGGCTGGGGTTCTGACCCTAGGCTTCTGTTAAACATCCCACAGGAATGGTCATTAATGGGCCAGTCCCTTCCACATGGCCCCTGCTGGGCTGGCGCATTTTCAGGAACTTTGTGGTTTCTGGCCATGGATGTAAATATTTATTTCATTTGTGGGAAACAAGACAGGCGCTGAACCGGCTTCCTCCAGAGCCTGGCTGCCATCTTCTCAGGCTGAGCTCTCTCCCCTGTCTAGCAGGCTCATATCTCGGGGTGCCAGTCCCCTTTCCCAGTAGGACCCTGATGACTTCAATTGAAAGGCTGGTGGGGGCCAGACGTGGTGGGCTAGTGGTCAGGGGGAGCGATTAGGGCCAATCTGCTTGTGCCCTGGCTTCCTTGTGGTTTGCCTGGGGCCTGGCTGGAGGACTGCTGGGGCAAGGGGGCTGCTCCACATCTGCCCCTACCTGGGCCAGGATACTGTTGCCTGGGGTCTGAGTCTTCTGGGCTACCTTGGTGTGAGACAGTGAGGCTGTCCTGGGCTCCTGCTTTCCAGGGAGGCTGGAGGCTCCATGAGGAGTCTCTTCCCTCTCGGTAGGGCTCATGACATTGCTACTGAAACATCTGTTTCAAGACCAAGTCCATTTTGCTGAGCACGGGTTCAGCCCCAGGCGAGCCCTGGGGAGGAGAGGCAAATTGTCCACCAGTCCTCTAGATGGGGAGGGCAGGACTCACACCCAGGCCCTGCTTCCAGGCCTGTGCACCTACCCACTCTCCTTTGTCAAAGTAGGAGGACTTGGGTGGGCGAGCAGGAATTGGTGAAGTGGCTCCTGTCTCCACAGTGCCCTAGTTCATGGTGGCCCCACTTACCTGCAGCTGTGCGGATGGGCTGGGGGGCTGCACTGCAGGGTTATGTTCTGCTCTCTGAGGGTCCTTCTCCTTCTACCATGAGCTGGGCCTCCTGGCCCCCTCCTTTACCAGTGAGGGGGTGGTAAACACCTCCTTGAGGCTACTGAGGGGGCCCCCCACCACTGCTTCATGAGAGGCTGTGCCCTGGGGCAGCAGGGCACAGTGGCCAGGGTCATATACAGTTCTTCCCACTTGGTGAGTGGGAGCTTGGGACAGCAACAGGGATAGGGTGCTGAGGGTGTGGCTGGTGGGCCCCAGGGTGCAAATTCCCTAAATTCCTTGCCTCAAGGCTGAATGTTCTGACCTGACACTGCATCCCATCTTTGCCTAATATCAAACCCCAGGGAGGGAGATGGAGGCTCAGAAAAACAGGCCACCCATTTAGCTGGTGGCAGAGCCAGATACAAACCCAGCTTTGTGGACCCCAGGTTACTGGGAAAGATGAGAACCTGGGCTCTGAGTGCAGCTGGAAGCCCTGCCACTCCTTACTCCCTGCAGCTGGGCCTCTGCATCTCCACCTGGGTTGTTACAAGGACAACACTGTGTCCCATGTTACAGCACAACAATCTTTCCACAAACAGAGCTGTTTTGTACTGTTTTGCACCCTGGTCCCTGAGTTGGGAGCCCCAGCCAGAGCCAGGAAAGATGCCATTCAGGCTCAACCTGTTGACATGGGCTCTGCTGGTCCCTTGAGATGCTTCTGTCCTCATGCCTGGGATCCCATGTGGGTTTATTACAGGGCCGTGTGCATGAGCAGAGGTTGAAGTGTGGGCAGGGGCTATTGGCAGCATGTGGTGGGCAGCAAGCCCAGTCCAGGAGGACCTGGCTTCCTGCCTTCCATGAAGATGAGTTTTGGATGTGGACTCAGAGAGGGCTCAGGCAAGGCCTGCCCAGTGCTGATAGCCCAGAGGGCCTCTCCTGCAGGGGATATGGTGATCCTCCAAGGAGAGTGGGTGCTGTGTGCTGGAGGCTGCTTTTTCTTCTGTAGGAAGGTGACATCTTGGTGGGTGCCGGGAGGCTGTATGTCCAGCCAGTGAAGAGGCATCACTGGGAGCTGGTGTCTCACTGGAGCAGTGCCCAGCCGCACCTGATCCACAGGCCCACAGTCCCAGAGTCTGTACAAGGTACAACTGGGAAAGAGAGGGTAGGACACCATAAAGAGCTCAGCAGAGGGACTGACTCTTCCAACACCAAGGAGGCTCTGCAAAACGTCCCGCCATCACGGAGGCATCTTTAGGATGCAGGGGAGTGCCCAGTGTAGGAGATGGTGCCGGGGCTCATGTGGCCAACAGCTGTCTATTTAGTAGACTGCCCACCTTGAGCAGCCCCTCCCTGTTTACAAGGCACATTCCCAGGCATGCACCTTTGTAGTCCCCACCCAGGACTGCAGGACTGAGGTTCCCTTGTTGCAAATGGGGACCTGGTGGTTCAGAGGTGGAATGTGGCTACCTAGGCCCACACAGTGGCCCCAGGACAGCCCGGGTCTGCTACCCACCAGTCCAGGATGGTGTAGTCTGTATCTGGGTGCAAGAAGGGTGGTATCTTGAGCTTTTTCCATCTTGGGGGTGAACCTTTTTTCTAACCTGTGCCCTGAGTGAGGTACATGAGGCAGAGGAGGGTATTGGGCTTTGGATAGACCCCGAGGGAGTGGGAGGGTGCCTGGATTGGTGACCCAGTGGACAAGACAGCCTTTGGCATTTCCTCCTTGGCCCCACCCTCCTGTGTGTCCCAGAAGGCCTGGTCCCAGTGGGGGTGTGAAATGGGTTTCTGGCTCCTGAGAGGTATGCTTTTCAAGCTGCCAGCCTCTCTTCTTTTAGCTCCCCAGCACCTGCTTTCCAGAAGCTTCACCCTCGGCCTTCCGTCCACTCCAGGCCGTCCCTCCCCTCGCCTCCAGAGACGGAGACGGGCTGCAGGGGGCACCCTGCACCTGGAGCTGCTGGTGGCTGTGGGCCCCGATGTCCACCAGGCTCACCAGGAGGATACAGAACGCTACGTACTCACCAACCTCAACATTGTGAGTCCTGGATGGAGGCGCTGGCCCTTGTGGGATATGGCTTAGGCCTCTGGTGGGGCTCTGTGCTGTCCTTGGGAGCCTCAGGACACAGTGCCCCAGAGCTGGGCTCAGTGGATGGAATACAGATTTGGAGCTCAGCCTGGGGCCAGCTGGGGGCCTGGAGCAGGGAGAGGCCTGGCTGCTGTCTTCTTCCTCCTCCCTCCTCCAACCCCCCCCTCTCCAGCAGCAGAGGTGGAGGAGGTCTGAGAACCTCTCAGCTCCGACAACAGCCTCTTGCCATTAGGACCGTTTGCCTCTGGCTGCCCTCGAGTCTGCTCCTCCCAGGGTCCATCCTCCTAACACTACTCTGGAGGTGCAGGCTGCTCACAAGCCTCTGCTCCCACACTCAGTTCCCGCCTCCTGCTCAGGAACAAGCAGGGCAGATCAACAGTCTGAAGTCTAAACAGACAGTCTGTCAGTGGAGAGGCCCCTTTCCATTTCTTACAGGGATGAGGGAGGGCAGGGGACACCACTCCACAAACCGTCATCTCAGAACAGCCAGTCAGGCAAAGATGATCTCACCCACTTAGTTATCAAGTCTAACCCAACAGACCTGTGGAAGGAAGTGCCAGCCACTAGAGAGCCACATGGAACAGGCATTGAGAACACCCACTACAGGCTAGGGGCCAGTCCCTGCAAACCTCAGGGTTCAATCTGGCGGATGATGTTTACCCACCAGGGTGCAGTGACAGCATACCACCTGGTAGATTCAGCTACTAAGAACTGGTCTTAGGAATTTGACTAACTGGACTTTAGGAACATCTAGGAAATGAGCTTCAGATGGTGAGTGGAAACTGGTCTCCTTCTGTCCCTGGTCTGCTCCAGAGGTGGGCTAGAGGAGGTTCATCTGGTCCCAGCCTCAGGTCTATCACCTATTTTGGACAAGAGGGGAAGTCCCCCTCTGCATCTAGTCATTTTACCCAAAGCCCATTCCCAAGCCCGCTCTGACCCAGGTGGTATCTGTGCACCCCTCATCCTGCAGGGGGCTTGGGTGCAGCCACCCACACCTGTTGGTCACTCCCTTTATAGGCATGGTCAAATCTAGAACAAGCTGTATAGGCCTAAGCCCTGACAGTGATGTTTTCTCAGTGAAAAGTCTTTCCTATAAATTGTTTGAAACAGTTGCTTTCAGATTTTGATCCCTTTCTCCAGTTCTCATATACTGAAATCCAGTCACCCAGCACAGGCTCCCTCTGGTCCTTTATGTTTCTTGAGGACAGCTAGGTGGTGAGGTGGGACTTGCCCATGCCCAGATGCTGCCCAGGGTGGTAGTGGCTGTTGTCAGCACTGGGCACCCACTTTTGCCAAGTACTTCGTAGCTACCTGTCTCTGAGTCTGCCAACAACCAGGGAAGGCTTTATGTCCATTTTACAGATGCGGAAACTCAGTGGTTAGTGAACAGGATCCTGAACACAAGCCTAGGAAGCAGCAGAGGTTGGATTTAAGCTCAGGACAGTGATAAGCCCATCGCTGTTTTGGGGACTGTGTCCTTTAAAAGACAAGCTGGCATGAACAACAGCAGTGTGTGGACCTTGAGCTGCACCTGACTCAGGGACCCCCAGCAGGAGCAGGAGAGGGAGTGTGGCTGGGGAGGGCTCCGGAGGAGGAGGGGCCTCAAGCAGGAAGGACAGGTATTGCTGGTAGGTGGATGTAGAAAGGGCAGGATGAAGAGTCTGAGAGAAGCTGTGTGTGCGGAACAGTCCAGGCTAAGGGCAGTTTGCTTCCCCCAGCATGTGGGTTTCTTTATGTTAACTGGCCTTCCTAGAAGGACATCTGCCCAACTGTTACTGGACTGGCTCCTCATGCTGATGGAGCACCCTTGCCTGCCCTCTCTCTACAGGGCCCCTAGAGCAAAGCCTACTCTTCCCACCCCTGTGTTCCCTCTCCTGTTTGTCCTCCAACAGGGATCAGAACTGCTGAGGGACCCGTCCCTGGGGGCTCAGTTCCGTGTGCACCTGGTGAAGCTGATCATTCTCACAGAGACCAAGGTAGGCACCAAGGTGGATTTCTACTGAGTTGAGCCTGACGTGCTTTCAGCACTCCCTATCCTCTTGACCTTCCTGTGGATGCCCTAGACCAGGTGCAGGCTGTCAGCCAGGCAGACCTGCTCCCTTTCTGGATGTCCTGGCTCTCAGGTGTGGTGAGCGGCTGTGCTTCTTGGAACCTCAGCTTCTCACCTGTAATGTGGGGCAATGCCAGGTCGTTAGGAAGACCAAGTGGGAGACATACCCACAGCCTGCACCATCCTTAAAAAGCGGGTTGTGTTATTGATCCCAGGATGCTCCCAACATCACAGCCAACATCACCTCGTCCCTGTTGAACGTTTGTGAGTGGAGCCAGACCATCAACCCTGTGGATGCCACAGACCCTGGGCATGCCGACCTGGTCCTCTACATCACCAGGTAGCTGGGCTCCTCAGGGCCAGGCCTTCTGCCTACCATTGACCTTCCTGCCCTCTTCACATGTGGCCTGGCTGCAGTGAGCACCAGTGCCCACCTGGACTCTTCTCTTGCCAAGGTTCGACTTGGAGTTGCCTGATGGCAACCGACAAGTTCGGGGGGTCACCCAGCTGGGGGGTGTCTGTTCCCCCTCCTGGAGCTGCCTCATCACAGAGGACACTGGCTTCGATTTGGGGGTCACCATTGCCCATGAGATTGGGCACAGGTATGTGCCCCACCAGCTGGCCAGGGAGCTGATTTGGGTCCCTAGGATGGAAGGGTGTGGTCTTGAGGGCAGTGGGCATGGCAGAGCCTGCCAAAGGAGCCTGCTCCTCTGACCCACTGGAATAGGAAGGGTAGGAGCGAGATAGGGACATCTGACACTTCTTGATTACTGAATGATTAAAAGAACCCACCAAAAGCAAAACAACTTAGCAATTAAACTAAGTTTTGTAGAAAATTCAGGTTTTAAAAAAACAGGCTGTAGGGCTGGGGCTGGGGCTCAGTGGTAGAGCACTTGCCTAGCATGTGTGAGGCACTGGGTTTGATTCTTATCACCACATATAAATAAATAAAATAAAGGTCCATTGACAATTTTAAAATATTTTAAAAAAACAAGCTGTAAAAATTATTACAAGTCCCTCACTTAGAGAGGGACTTAAGCCCAGGGCCTCACACAGGGTAGGCAAAATAATTTGTATTTGCTGCATTGGGATCATGACATACATTGCTTTGTTACCCTGCCTTTCAATTTAAAATACATCTCAAACGTTTCTCCTAGGTTTCTAACATTTTTGTATGCACCACAATTATTTAAGGAATCCCCTCTTGTTGGATATTTAGGATGTTTCCAAATTTTTCCAGTTAGGCACATTATACATTCTTGTAAAAAAATTTTTTTTAGTTGTAGATGGACACAATACCTTTATTTTATTTTTATGTGGTGCTGAGGATTGAACCCAGTGCCTTCCACATGTGAGGCAAGCCCTCTACCACTAAGCTACAACCCCAGCCCACATTATACATTCTTGTGGGTAGGTCTTTGTTCCTATCTATTAGCGTTTACCTGGGTAGTAAGTTTCTTTTCTTTTTGATTTTTTTTTAAAAAATATATGGAGAGCACTAAAAAAACTAAAAATATATATATATATGGAACTGATACCCGATTGTTGTAAAAAGTCCAGTAGCACAGAGACATCTAAAGTGCTGTGGTTAGAAGCCAACTGCCTAGAAAGGGAAGGGACAGTCATGTCTTCTTGAACTTTTAGTTCTACTGTATATGCACACTATGCATTTCTACACACTGAACACTCATGCAGCCAGCCCCAAGGAAGGAAGCCTCATTGGCAGCTCCCAAGGCCCCCTAGCCCCCGCCCCCACAATTCCCATCTGCTCCCTGCAGATCTGTAACACTGTGGATCAGCTTGCCTGCATGTGGTGATAGCCTTTTGATATCTATTAGCCAAAAAAGGTGCAAGACACCCTTCTGGGCCAGCATCTCCCCACTGCCCAGGCAGGCAACTGAGGCAGGGCAAGACTCATTCAGCCATGCCCAGCTATCAGGTGGCAGGACCAAAGGTCAACCCAGGTTCAAAAGCTCCCTAGGCTGGGAGGAGAGAGACGGCCTGGGGCTTACCTCAAGCGCCAAGGCCAGAAACTCCCCTGCTGTCCCCAATGCCATGTCAACACCCCCTATTCCCACCGCCTGCTTGTCCCCCAGCTTTGGCCTTGACCATGATGGTGCACCAGGCAGTGAATGTGAGCCCAGTGGCCATGTGATGGCATCTGATGGTGTGGTGCCAGTGCATGGGGTCCTGGAGTGGTCCACGTGCAGCCGCCGGCAGCTGAAGCACCTGCTTAGGTACAGCCTCCTCACCCCCACACAAACTCCCCACCTCGAGGCTCCACCCTCCACCTGTCAGGGTTGAACTGCCCTGCCTATCAGACAGGCCTCATCCGCACAGTGAGCACCCCTACTTCCTGTCCTGGGACTGCTCCAGCCTTCCTGGCCCCTGCATTCATCCCTCCCTGCACCCACCCCTTCTACTCCTAAGCAGGCCCCACTCCCTCATTCTCTCCTGCTTCTCTGTACCCACTCATCCATCCCACCCCATTCCTGCACCCAATCCTCAGTGTGCCTTCTTCATCTGCCTCCATCTCCTCCCATCCTCCCCTCCCTCCAGCCTCCCCAACAGCCTGTATCTCCCCCTCCATCCACTGTGCTGGTCCATCTGTCACATTGCCCCCTCTTCCATCCTCCAAAGCACCTCCATCTGCTCCACACCCACCTCCACCTGGTGCCTGCCGGCCCAAGCCAACTGGCCACACCCCAGCCAAAGCCCCTGTTCCCACCTTCTCCATCCAGCCCCACCTGGTGTCCACCCTGGGGCTAAGCCAGGGCCTGTTACAGCAGCTTGGGACGGGTGCCCTGCGCATGGGACCCACCACAGTCACCATCTGGATCCAAGGACCACCTGCTGGATGCACAGCCAGGCCTCTACTATAGCGCAGATGAGCAGTGCCAGGTGGCCTTTGGCCCAGGGGCTTTTGCCTGCACCTTCACCAGGGAGGGCCTGGTGAGTCCAACTGGCCAGGGCCGGGCCCCTCCCAGCTCACCTCTGCCTGGTGGCATCACACAGGGACCATTCCACAGTCCCCTTGGTTTAATGCTGTCAGGTGCCTCTTGAAATCCTTAAAATTTTTTGAACAAAAGCCCCTACCCATGTGTTTGGATGGGCCCCCAAATTATGTAGCTGGTCCTGGCATTGCCCCAGACGGCCACCAAGGGCTTTCAACCTGCTGCTAAGCACAGAGGTCTTCTTGGAGGGAGTGGCCTTCTATCAGAAGCCTCTGCACATGTCCCAGACAGGGGGTGGGGAGATGAAGGGGATAGACACCCCCAAAGATGAACATCCTCCCCAGGCTGCCTAGGACACTCAGGGACCCCAGGCCCTTTTGCCCTGGTGAGCCCTTTTCTTCATAAAATAATTAAAAACTGTTTTTTTGTAGTTGTAGATGGACAGCATGCCTTTAGTTTATTTTTATGTGGCACTGAGGATTGAACCCTGTGCCTCACACATGTGAGGCAAGTGCTCTGCCACTGAGCTTCAGCCCCAGCCCTTATTTTTTTAATATGTATATTTTTAGTGTAGATGGACGAATACCTTTATTTTGTTTGTTTATTTTTATGTGGTGTTGAGGATTGAACCCAGGGCCTCGCACATACTAGGCAAGTGCTCTATTGCTGGGCCACAACCTCAGCCCCATAAAATAATATTAAAAAATATGTTCTAGTATTTTTATGAAATGCATGAACTTTTGTTATTTTAAGTACAAATATATTAAAATTATTAAACCATTTATTTTTAATCTGATTTTAAAATAATTAAAACATTTTTGTGGGCCTCAAGAGACATGGTTGGCCCGGCCAGGTTCCCTTGTCCTCCTAGGCCACCCACCAGTAGCCATGGAGCAGTACCGGTTGTGTCAGTGTGCCCTATGGTCTGGGAGGGACGATGACGGGGCAGTCCCTGAGCTGGCCACCTGACTCCCTGTTAGGACATGTGCCAGGCTCTCTCCTGCCACACAGACCCTCGGGACCAAGGTAGCTGCAGCCGCCGCCTCATTCCCCTGCTTGATGGGACAGAATGTGGTACGGAGAAGGTCAGAGCAAGGAGTGAAAGTTCCAGCTGTGTGTGTGTGTGTGTGTGTGTGTGTGTGTGTGCTCGCAGGGCATCTCCTGGAGTAGGGGTAGGAGCTCATTAAGGGAGGGGGCAGGCAGAGAGTCTGGAGCTATCCCTGGTGGCCACCTTGTCACGACAGGAGGTATGCCTCATGGGCACCATAGGTGTCACCTGTCTGTGACTCACCCCAGCCTTCTGTGGGCCTGGAAGGTGGGTGGGTTTCTAGGTTTGTGGGGTCAACACCCTAGAGGGAGGTTGCTCTGTGTCTGCTGAGGTGGTGGGATCTATTGAGTCTGGAGCCTTGCCCTGGCCACATCTGTCTGGAATGTGGGGTTTACTGGGTCCCTGCTCCCAGGCATCATGCCACAGCCCACCTTCTCCTCCAGCTCTGGGCGTGGGCATCGCGTTTTACTCCACTGGACAGAGAAGGTTTGCCGGCTGATGGTGCAGCCTGCACTTTCTGCCCTGACGCCCTTTTATTGCCATGCCATCTCCCCCAGGGCTCCCCGAGCCACCTCACTGGGTGTCTAGACCCATCCTCTGTCCTTGGGCTGCTGGCCTGACCTGTCACTTTAGCATTTATTCCCAAGTAGTGTGAGGTGTGTGTGTGGTTCCTGGGGTCTGGGGCCCCCATGTAAGGGTGGAGAGGCAGCTGCCCTGTCTTGCAGTGGTGTTCCAAGGGTCACTGCCGCTCATTGGCAGAGCTGACCCCCGTGGCAGCAGTGCATGGACAGTGGTCCAGCTGGGGTCCCCGCAGCCCTTGCTCCCGCTCCTGTGGAGGAGGTGTGGTCACCAGGAGGCGGCGCTGCAGTAACCCCAGGTACTGTGAGGAGGGGTGCTCTTCCCTGCATTCCATTCCCTGCTTGGGGCAGTGGTCACTTCTCACCCTGTCTCTTGGGCACTTTCAGACCTGCCTTTGGAGGGCGTGCGTGTGTCGGGGCTGACCTCCAGGCCGAGATGTGCAACACCCAGGTAGGCCAGCTGGCTGGGGCCAGGAGGGCAGGGTGGGAGACGGCGGGCCTCGGGGAGCCAAAGGGCTGCCCTGGCTGACCTAGGCTCGCACCTCACTCTGGAGAGGGACACTGGGAGCACAGTGCGAGACACAGGACAGTCCTGCTAGTGACCAGCAGGGACTTGAACGGTCGCCCTCCCTCTGCAGAGCACACCCCTGCAGGAGGGCTGCCCCTAAGAATATGCCACCACCAGCATGAGGCCCTTCCATGTCTGTGTGGTGGTGAATTGCATCACACAGTCAGCAGTGCTACGGTGCATGACATGGCGTCCCGCACACTCGTGCCAGGGGCCACTCCCTCTGTCAAGTTCCAAGCATTTCCATCACTCAGAGCTCACTCTGCTCAGTGAGCGGCCTCTGGCCTCCTCCCTGCCTGGCAACCCCTGGTCTACTCTCTGCCTCTGCAGCTCCACCACCGGGCAGGGGCCACCAAAGCTGTGTGGTCTTTGGTGCCTGGCCTTCTCTGCTGAGCGCTTTTCAGGGCTCACCTGCGTCACAGCGCATGTCAGTGCTTCTTTCCCTTCTGAGGCCGGGTGGCATCCCCTAAGATGGAACACCTTTTGTTCACCGATGCCTACTGAAGGACACTGGGGTTGGTTCCACCTTCTGACTGCTGGGGGTCTTCCCCATATGAGTGAGCTTGCACACGTGCTTGTTGGAGTCTCTGTGGTCTGTTCTCTTGATTATATTTACCTGTCTTAGTCAATGTGTGCTTCTATAACAAATACCCAGACTGGGTAGTTTATGCAGAACAGAAGTTTATTTCTCATGGTCTTGGAGGCTGGGAGTCTTAAGATCAAGGCCCAGCTGTTTGGTGTCTGGTGAGAGCTGCCCTCTACATCTTACAGATGGTGCCTTGTTGCTGCATCCTCCAGAGGGAGTCACTGGGCCCTCACATGGCAGAAGGGAAGGAAGGGGAAAAGGGCCTACATGGTTCACCTGGTCCATTCACAGGGGTGCCACCCCATTCACAAGGCCAAGCCCTATGATCCTATCACCTCTTTAATACTGGTGCTTTGGGGATTCAGTTTCAAGATGAATTTTGGAGGGGACATGATCACCAAACCATAGCAATACTATCATTTAGTTTTTTTTTTTAATTATTATTAACCATTTTACTACTTACATGTATTTCATGACGTCAGGGGATACCCATTAACATTTATTTATTTAATATTTTCAGTTGTATTTGCACACAATACCTTTATTTTATTTATTTATCTTTATATGGTGCTGAGGATCGATCCCAGTGCCTCACACATGCAAGGCAAGTGCTCTACCACTGAGCCACAACCCCAGCCCTGGCTGTCATTTAGTTTTCTATTGCTGTACCAAAACACCCGAGATAGAGGTTTCAGTCCACAGTCACTTGACCTTGTCTTTGGACCAGGGTCAAGGCAGACCATCATGGTGGGGAGCATGCAGCAGAGCAAAGCTGTGGCTTCATGGCACCAGGAAGTAAAGATAGCCAGAGGAAGGGGCTGGGTCTCAATATCTCCTTCTGTGCCGTGCCCCACTGACCTAGGCGCTTCCCACCTCTCCTAGCACCACCTGGGCACCAAGCCTCCAGCCCCTGGCCTTTGGGGGAAACTCAACATTCAGACTAGCAAATACCTAAAAGGGAATCGTTGTGTGACTGTGTGATCTTCTAAAAGTGCCACAGTGCCCAGTCCCTTTTGCATCCCATCACTCAGAGACAGCAGTGTCTCAGTGAGGGCTCCAGTTGCCTCACACCCCCTCCAGCAGCACGTGCTCTGCTCTGTGTGTGTTTGCTCTTTTATTCTCGCCATCCTAGTTGGTGGGAATGGTAGCATGATTCTTTTCACATTGCTTAAAACCTACCTGCTGCTTTGGGTGGCCTGGGTTTGGGTTTGGCCCTGGCTTTGTGGTGACAGCTCCCTCCCCGCCTTCTCAGGCAGACACCCCAGGCCTCCCCAGGCCTCCCCAGGCTTTGAGAGGAGGGTCTCTGCAGGGCAGCTACCGGGAGGGCAGCACCTCAGTGTCTCTGCCCAGGGGGTCCACTCCAGTCCTTCTCTCTCCAGTGTGGAAGTGGCCAGGTTGCCTGCCTGGGCACTGGGGCTCGGTGCTGGGGCCTCTGTTCCTGAGCATTCAGTTTTTCTGGGACCCGCTCCTGATGCACCTGGTAGGCAAGGAACACCACAAGCCCTGTTTTCTCAGGCTAGGCCTTGGGAGTGGTCCCAAGAGCACTACTGTCCCCTGCCCTCTTCTTGTTGCTGCCCTATATCTCTTACAGATTTTCTAGAATTTTCTCATCAGCAGAGAGGCAGGTGCTCTGGTTGCCCCCACTCTTCAGAGAAGGGAGTCAAGGCACAATGGGGCTGGGTTGCCCCACGTCTTCCCCCCATGCAGGTGGTTGCTGGCTCCTGTGACCAGAGCCTGTCCTCTGCCTCCTCTGACCAGGCCTGCGAGAAGACTCAGCTGGAGTTCATGTCGGAGCAGTGTGCCCAGACAGATGGCCAGCCGCTGTACCTCTCTCCAGGCATACCCTCCTTCTACCACTGGGGTGCCGCAGCACAGTACAGTCAAGGTGGGCTGTGGAGCACAGGGGTGCTAGGCCTGGAGACCCCCTGTCAGGTAGCAGAGTTGACCATAATCACACTGCTGGTTGGAGCAGGATCCAGGGTGAGCCTCTGGCATGCTGCAGACCAGGGATTCCATTGTGGCCTAGCCTGGCCTCGCCAGCAGATGAGCAGTGAGGTCTCATCTCCAAGTCTTGGTTATCCTATCTGTAAAATGGAGACCATAGCAGCATCTCCCTCTGTGGACAGATTCAGGGAGGTCATGCAGGGAAATGCCAAGTGTGCTCTGGGTTTATAATTCAGAAACAGCAGTAATCAGATGATGATCATCGTTGCTTCAGAAGACGGGACAGAGACAGGATAGAAACCTGGAGCCCAGATGTGAGGATGTAGCTAGCTAGACAGGGCTGGCAGGTGGGAGCTTGCAGCATGGTCCCCATGGGGCTTCCTGGCCTAGCTCACTGCCCTCCCTCCCACCTCTTTCATCAGGGTTTCTTGTCACTCTGTCCTCCCAGGGGATGCTCTGTGCAGACACATGTGCCGGGCCATTGGCAAGAGCTTCATTGTGAGGCGTGGAGACCGTTTCCTGGATGGGACTCGGTGTGTGCCGAGCGGCCCTCGGGAGGACGGGGCCCTGAGCCTGTGTGTGTCTGGCAGCTGCAGGGTGGGTGTGTGTGGACAGCTCAAGTGCCCTGTGTCCCCTGTGGCCTACGGCCTACCTCTGCCTGTGGGAGGACTCCAGGGGCAGCCTGTGGGTGCTGGCTGCAGTGGAGCTGCCTTGTGGTCTGTAGGGGAGGGGTGCTGGAGATAGGGGGCTTGGGGTCAGCCTGGGCAGGGCCATGCCGGGGCTTTGAGCCAGTTGCTTGACCCTCTAAGCCCTGTTCCTGTGTTGACTTGAGGGTTGTATGAGTCCCCGGTCCTGGAGCCACAGGGCTGTCTGGGAGAACAGCACCTCCCATGACACCCCCCTTCCGCTGGTCCCTTTACAGACATTTGGCTGCGATGGCAGGATGGACTCCCGGCTGGTGTGGGATGCATGTCATGTGTGTGGAGGGGACAATAGCACGTGCAGCCCACAAAAGGGCTCCTTCACGGCTGGTAGAGCTCAAGGTAGGGCCGCCTCAGGGAGGGTTGCTCAGCCCCCAGCCTCCCCAGGTCCCAGCTTGCCTCCCCCACTTTGCCATTCTCCCATGGTGATGATATGGCCACCGGGATTGCTGCGCCTTAGTAACAGTGGCTCATGAGCTGTGATGTGGAGAAATAGGTCATTGTGCAGCCTGTGGTGGGCCAGCCTTTTCCTCCCACTCAGGAAACACCATCAAGGCGAGGGAATAGGAGGGGTGTTAGTGTTGAGTGGTCCCTGGAGGACTTGAGCCCTGCCTCCCCTGGTGTGTCCCCCAGGGCTGGAGGACCTAGGATCCTGCACCCGGCTGGGGCAGCACCAGCCCTCCAGCCTGGTGTTCATGGCCCTGAGGACATGAGGAGGCCTTACTGCCTCTGGAAGCAGCCTGGGGCATTGTTAGAATTTCTCAGTCTGGCTGTGGAGGCTCCTGTAGTAAGGTAGGTGACACGAGGCCCACACAGACCTTGCTCTGCTTCTCTCTAGAGTATGCCACCTTCCTGACGGTCACACCCAACATGACCAACGTGCACATAGTCAACCACAGGCCACTCTTCACGCACCTGGGTGAGTCGAGAGAGGAGGCCCACTGCATTTGAACAATCATCTCAGTCCCAAGGCCCTCACTTCTGACACCAGTCTCAGGTGCAGGGGTTCCCTAAGCCACTGGGGTTTGCTAGTTCACTGGGAGGGCTCCCAGAACTCCCTGAGTTCCCAGCCACAGCTGCTCTCACTCTGGGGAAGGGGCTTCATTTCACAGGTGTGATTGTTCAGTGAATGAGTGACGGCTGTCCTGGATGATGAACCTCCAGGGGACCCAAAGCCCCTCCCTAATCATTTGGCTGCTCTTTCTGCGCAGCCAGCCCTGGCTTATGCCTGCCAGGTGTGTCAGCCCCACCCTGAGCTCTGGCAAGGCCAGCCCATGCCAGAAACAGACATCTTCTCTCCAGGTCAGGGCAAAGGCCAGCTCTGGGCAAGGCCACCTGTGTACTCTTCAGGGCTATGGTGGGCCTTTGTTTTCTGAGTGTGCCTCCTCCTGACCTTTGAGCCCTTGAAAGGGGGTGCTTGTCTTGGGGTCCTTGAGCTCCGAACCATGTGTGTTCTGTTCGTGGGGGCACCTGGTGGGGCAGAGGTTGAGGCCCTAACCAGCTTCTGGGACGAGGTGCAGAGCCAGTGCTGTGGGGCAGCCTTAAGCAGGATGCATGTGCCCATGGCAGAGGGGTGCACACCGAGAGTCTCACCCGACTAGACACCAAGAGGACCAGCTCCTTAGGCAAGGGTGGTGGACAGGGCCATGGAGATTGCGTCCTGTTGGCAGAACGCCCCTCCTGCCCACTTGCCCTGCTGTCACCTCCACCCTTCCCTAGCCCAGATCCCCCACTGTGCAGGGAGGCATCCTCTTGGTGAGCAGCTCCACCTGTGAGGGGCGGCACCTGCTCTGCAGTGCCAACCACCTTCTGTTCACAGCCATGAGGATCCGAGGGCGCTACATCGTGGCTGGGAATGGCAGCATCTCCCCCAGCACCACCTACCCCTCCCTACTGGAGGACAGCCGTGTGGAGTACAGAGTAACCCTCACAGAGGACCAGCTGCCCTACCTGGAGGAAATCCGCATCTGGGGACCAGCCCAGGAGGACATGGAGATTCAGGTCCCCAGGAGGGCTGAGGGAGGCCAGTGGGGCTTCTCTCAGTGGCTCCAGCTGGGTTCATTTCTCCATCTGTTCCCTCTCACTCAGTGGCCCCTCGGGGGCCTACCAGGGGGTGGGCCCTGTGGTGGGCCAAACGAAAGCACAACAGCCCCAGGCTTAGCGTCTCAGACAACTCGAGTTGCCTGTGCCTGGTGCCCAGGGAGGGCCTGGAGCTCTGGGAGTGGTGAGAGGGCTCTGCAGGGAGCATATGAAGTGAAGGGCTAGCTTTCCACTCCTCCTGGGGTGTGGGCAGTGGAGTGGTCCTTGGTGTGGAGGGAGCACAGGGGCATTGCATCCTACTAGTTCTTTGGTGTCGACTGGAGTTAGTGTAGTGGAACCCACCCTGGAGGGTTTCAGAGAGGGGCAGAGTCTCAGCAGCTCCTTCTGGGGAGTCAGCAGGGTTCCCTCAGGGCCCAGGCCAGAGCAGGTCCCCATGACCTTTCCTGCCTCCCCACATGGCTCAGCTTGCCTACCTTCCCTTGCCTAGGAGCGCTGACCCCATCATTGGCTACAGGTAGTTCTGCCAGCAGCCTGGGCCCCCCTCCAGGTGCAACAGGTCAGGACTTACTCAGGTGGGCTGTGATAGGCAGCCAAACAGGGCAGATACTGCATGTCACCTCCCACTGTGTGACCTCCTCTGGGCCCTGGATTCCTGCCTGGCCCCTTTCTTGGGCACAGCCACTTCCTGAAGTGCAAACAGCCCAGGAACCCTGCTGAAGCCTTTCCCAGCTCTGAGGGTCAATCTAGGCCACTGGGCAGCCACAAAGCCCCTGGGACCCTGGCCCTTCCTGCTGGCCATGGGCCTCAGCTCCCACTCTGGAGGCACATGCTGGTCTGGTCTGTGTGACCCTTGCCTGGGCCCTCTGCTGAAGTGCCCCTTGCCTTGCTGTGGCTCCTGAGTAACACTGCAGTCTGCCCCTGTCAACTTGGGACTCCCCGCTCCATGTTCCTGTAACTCCCTGCCCCAGTCCTCCTAGTTCCCTTGGTAAATAACCCCCACCCCCAAAGCTACCTGAAGCTCCTATCTGCTGTGCTGTCCTGCCTGGGGCTGGGGGACTGGAGTGTGGAGAGGCTTTCCCAGTCAGGTGACCATGATGGTGACTCCGGAGCCCACTGGACAGTCCCTGGGCTCCCCTCTCTGACACAGGTGTATCGGCGGCACAGCGAGGAGCACGGCCAGCTCACCCGCCCCAACGTCACTTTCACCTACTTCCAGCCTAGGCAGCAGGCAGCCTGGGCGTGGGCCCCCATGCGCGGGTCCTGCTCGGTGAGCTGTGGGGCAGGTGAGGCCCAGGCTGGGGCTCGCCTCTGCCTTGCTGTCCCTACGTGGAGGTGGTCGAGCCCTTGGTCTGCTTTTGCAGGACTGCGCTGGGTGTCCTATGGCTGCCTGGACCAGGCCCGGGGGCAGTGGGTGGAGACTGCCCAGTGCCAAGAAAGCCCCCAGCCTCCCTCATGGCCAGAGTCCTGCAACCCTGCACCGTGCCCCCCATAGTAAGTGCTGTGCTGGGCCATCCCCCTGGCTGCTGGGGCCCAGGTGGCCTGGGCTGGGCAGCTTCTATGCCTGTTCTTGTGTAGTACTGATGTCAGCCCTGTGGGGCAGATTCTGTTGGTGACTCCTATTTGCAGATGGGGACACTGAGACTCGGGACAGATAGGGAGGTAGTGTCAGCCTTGTCTGAGTCTGCTATGAGCTGAGATGCTCATTGTAAGGTGGTGGGGACCTGGGAGAATGGTGGGTGGCTCAGGGGTGCTGGTGGAGCAGTGCTCCTCCTGGCCCAGCAGGAGCATTTGGCTGCAATATACTGTTAGGAATGAGGCCACCATTGCTAGGTGGAGCACTGGGGCAGCTGCCTGCCTGCACCACTGTGCATCTGTCCTCTAGCTTGGTGTGCAGGGCAACCCTGCAGACCTGGCCTCTGGAGGACAGCTCAGGACATCTGGAGTTAGAGGGAGAAGCATGTTGGCCAGGGCCTGCTGCTCTTCCCCGTTGCCCCCTGATCCAGCCTGGACACTTCCTCCTGCTCCTCAGCTGGCTGGCTGGAGACTTCGGCCCATGCAGTGCCTCCTGTGGGGGAGGCCTCCGTGAGCGGCTGGTACGCTGTGTGGAGGCACAGGGGGCCCTCCTGAGGACGTTGTCCCCGGCCCAGTGCAGAGCGGTGGCCCAGCAGCCAGCAGTGGAGGTGGAAACCTGCAACTCCCAGCCCTGCCCAGCCAGGCAAGCATGCAGTGGGAGGGCCCCCACAGGGTTCATCCATGTGTGGAGCCCACCCTCCCAAGTTCCGTCTTCCCGAGGCCTTTGGTTAGGCCCCATCCTGGTAATGCCTGGTGACAGGTGGTGACACCTGGTGCCTAAGCATGCCCCTTCAGAGTTCTCCTGGCCCTGGAGCCCCTGGCCACTAACTTCACTGGCTGAACTTTCAGCCCCTGCTGTGGAGTAGCCGAGGCCCTGCTTGTGGAGGGGCAGTGAGGCGGGTGGACCCTAAGTGAGAAGCCGAGGACATCACCTTTTCCTCACCATTGTCTTGCCCACACAGCCTGCACTGCCTCTTTTCCCACTGGGCAGCCGGGATGAGTCCCCTCCCTCTCTGGACCCCTGTCTCCTCTGTCCAGTGCTGGCCCGCCCACGGCCCTGGCTCTTTCCCCTTGTGCTTGGCAGAGTGTAGTCAGCCACTGCTCTTGCTCAGCCAGCCCTGATCCAGCCTCAGCATCCTTCTGACCACAGCACCTGGGCAGCTCTGCCCAGGCATGCAGCTGAAACCCACTTGTCCCCCAAACCTGGTGCTGTGACCCCATTTGGTACCCATTTTTCAGCCCCTGCAGTGGGGCATGGAGCATCTCACTGTTGGGTAGCTCCTGGAGGGCAGGAGGGGTGGCTCTGTCTCCCCACACCTGGTACCAGGTGGGGTGCCTGGTCACCATGTAGGAGGTCTTCTTCGGGGAAACTCGGAAGTGCCTTGAAGGTCACTTGGTCTGGAGCTGCAGGGAATGACTTCTGAACTTTGCTTCTTTGTGGGGCATATTCTAGGTTCTTGATGTTGTGGGGGGTAGCTTTACTGCTTTCCTGCCCTCAAGCTGGACCATGCCTATAGTGAGGTGGCAGAGCAGGGCCTGATGAGGGTCTCATGCTGTCTCAGGTGGAAGGTATCAGACACTGGCCCCTGCACAGTGGCCTGTGGAACAAGTGTGGCCTTTTGGAATATAACACCTGTGCAGGGGTCAGATGGCCTGCAGGCACCAGCAACTACAGGGCCCTGCTGCACGGATGAGAGGTCACCTGCTCTCAAGCCCTGTACCAGGATGGCATGTCCTCCAGGCTGGAGTCAGGTAAGTGACCAGGGCAGGAGGTGGCTGAGGCTTCTGGTTCTTACCTGGCTAGGAGAAGAGCAATGAGTGCTGGTCAGCAGTGCTTTGCAGGCCACGGCAAGAGCACCATCCCTCTGCTGGGTGCTGTGAGGGCTACCCTGTCCAGAGGACAGACTCGGAGCGCCCCGGTAGGGGCAAGCCAGGCTCGGAGGATAGAGACCTGTTGGGAGCATCCAAGGAGGGTTGGACTTGGCTGCTGCCCCACCTGGCATCCAGGGGGTCTGGGCTTAGTGGCCTTGCTCTCAGAAACTGACCAGACCAGCCCCTCCCAGCTGGGGGTTGCAGGCCAGGCATGCCTACAGACCCCACTGCTAATCCCCAGCTCATAGCCCCACCCAGTGAACACCTCCACGATGGGACACAAAGGCTGAAGTGGGGTACACAGAGTACTATAGGGGATGAGAGGCAGCAGGAGGAGCAGCAGGGGGAGCCCCATGTGTGCAGCCACTTCCTGCTCTCCCTGATCTCTCCTCAGGAGGTCAGGATGGGGGCCAGGGAGCTGGGCACCCAGGGTGGAGGTGGGAATGCCAGATCCACTCACCAGATGCTCTCGTCCTGCAGCCGGACACCACGTCTCTTGGGGAAGAGGCCCCCTTGCCACTGGGCAGTGCCAGGCTGGAGGCTCAGGCCGCACACACGTGGACTCCCCTGACAGGGCCATGCTCTGTATCCTGTGGGCGAGGTGAGGCCCCAGAGCGTGCCTGAGGACCAGCACTGGTCACAAGCTCTCTTCCCTTCCTGCGTTGTAGTGCCAAGGAGCAGGCTCACAGGAGACCTGAGCCAAGTGCCTGCTGCCTGCTCTACCTGTGTTCCCTGAGTGGCTGAAAAACAGGGAGGTTGATAGCACCCAGCAAGGTTGGCACCGAGAGCCTGTCTCTCAGTTCCACAGAGCTGCGAGAGGTGGGCCCAAAGTGACCAAAGCAGAGAAGCAAAGTTACTCTTAAGAAACACAATGTTGTTTTGTTTTTCCAATTTTTTATTGTAAACTGCTCCCTGTCATAAAACCATTTTGTAGTATCTGGTTCAGGGCATTAATGAGTGCACACTGCCCTGCGCCAGGGTCACTGTCCTCCTCTAGGGCCTCTCCATCAGTACTGCCCTCCCCGCCCAACACCAGCTCCCCGCTGCTGCCTGCAGTCTCCCAACTGTCTCTGTGGTTTCACTCCTCTGGGGACCCCAGATCTGTGTGGTCCCACAGGGTTCGTCCTTTGTAACTGGCCTCATTGACTTAGCATAATGTCCCCAAGTTTCTTCCATGTGGTAGCAGGTGTCACACTCTCTTCTTTCTTAAGTCTAAAAAGTTTTCTGTGTAGACGTGAGGACGGCCCCTGGCTTGTCTCCAAGTTAGCTTCAGCAAGTGCTGCTGCGCCGAGCGTGGGGTGCTGAGGCTCGGCCTTCGGTATTTCAGTGACACCCAGAGTGGAACTGCTAGGTCACAGGGGCATTCTAGGTTTAATTTTTGGAGGAAGCACTGTACTGTTTTCCACAGCGGAACCCTGCATTCCCACTGACTGAGCACATGGGTTCAGTTTCTCCATATGCTCATCAATATGATCTTCTGGTTTTAAAAGAATTTAATTTCTACCCTAATGGCTGTGGGAAGAAGCCAGTCACAGTGGTGCACATCCGTAATCTTGGTGACTCAGGAGGCTGAGGCAGGAGGATGGAAGCCAGCCTCAGCAACTTACTGAGACCCTGTCTTAAAATAAAAATAAAAAGGGCTAGGGATGAGACTCAGTAGTGAAGCGCCCCTGGGTTCAATGCCTGGTGCCAATAAATAAATGGATGGATAGATAGATGACAGATAGATAGATGTGATATGCAGTGTTTCTATACACAAGTCCTAACCACACACTCAGTCCAACATCAGTGTGCTTAGAGCTGAGGCCAGCAAGCAACTGCTTTTGGGGATCCCAAAGAAGTGATGGCCTTGATAGTTCACTGACAGTGAGCACCATGGGAGGTGCCCTGACCTGGCACTAACCCTGCCTCTTGGTGAACAGCAGCCACTCCCACTTAAGTGCACCAGGCACTTCACGGCTGTCCTTCCACATCTTTATAAATGTCTCTACAAGGTAGATGCCATTATATTATATGAACATGAGGCTCAGAGAGATAAAGTCATTTGTCCAAGTCACACAGATGGTAAGTGGGCCTCATCTACTAGAGCTGCCCTGTGATCCAGGTCCTTGCTGAACCTGCCTCTCAGGGTGAGGGGGACCCTGCTTCCTGCTGCAGGCCTGATGGAGCTGCGTTTCCTGTGCATGGACTCTGCCCTGGGGACACCTGTCCAGGAAGAGCTGTGTGGTGTGGATGACAAGCCTGGGAGCCGGCAGGAAGTCTGTCGGGCTGGCCCGTGCCCCGCTCGGTGAGTTGGGGAGGGGAGCTGCAGGGAAGGCATCTGACTTGGGAGTAGTCTCCTATGGAGTGCCGGCTTTCCTCCTGCAGGTGGGAGGTCCGAGCCTTGGCACCGTGCCCAGTGACCTGTGGAGGGGGTCAGGTGCCCCTGGCTGTGCGCTGCATAAGGTTGGACCACGGCCGCCCTGTCCCTTTGCCCCACTCCAAGTGCTGGCCAGTGCCCCGACCTGGCCCCTTTGAGGACTGCAGCCCAGAACCTTGTCCAGCCAGGTGAGCCTGCCTCTTCCCAGAAGACTGGAAGCTCTTGGTGCCCTCCCAAGGCTGTGGGGGGATCTGAGGCCATCCTGCATGGACAGTGCGTTGCTCAGGACCCAGATGCTGTGGGAGCACTCTGCTTTTCTAGTTAGAACCTGCTCTCTCTTCTCTCTCTCTTTTTTTTTTTTAAATATTTTTATTTGTGGTGCTGGGGATTGAACCCAGTGTCTCACGTGTGCTAGGCAAGCGCTCTACTACTGAGCCACACCCCAGCCCCGGCTAGCACCTGCTCTTTACTGAGCTCTTACTGTGCCCATGTGCTATTCTGGAGCCAGGGACACAGCAGTGAACAAGCAGATGAGTTTCCCTGCCCTCCTGGATCTGACATAGGACAAGGAGTGATGGACAGTGAGACCTACAGTCTGATTGGCAGCATTGGGTGTGACACGGCAACATGGAGGGAAGGAAGGTGGCAGGGCTGGTGGGCAGCCTCAGGGTGGATTGGTGCTGGGACATGTGTTAGAGTGGACACCTTTGCCCTGTGGGGACCCCACGTCCTCATGGACACAGCTGTTGTTCACCCTCAGCTTCCCCTTCTGTGAAGAGGGTTGATTTGAATGCTCTGTCCTTGGTGCTGAGCTTTTTGGTGGGGACCTCGGTGCAGAGAACCTTATCCCCAGTAGGGAGAAAATCTCTACAGGTCCTCCCAGCCTCCTGTCTCTAGCCAGTCTGGAGGGATGAGGGGGACACCTTGAGTTCCTGGCCATAGGGAGCTTTGGCTCCCTTATTCAGTGTGTCGCAGGTGGCACCACCAGCTAGTGGCTTGCAGCGTGAGCTTTTTTTTTCACGTGCAGGATGGGGGTGGGGGTGGGGGGTTATGCAGAGGGTCCATGGGAGATAATGACAAGGAGATACTGCCTGACAGCCAGTGCCAGGGACTGCCTGGCCTAGAGTCTTGAGCCCTGTCTACCCAGGTGAGGGGACAGGACAGACTAGGGCGTGTCTGTTGGGCTTCTGGTGTGTGCAGACACCAGGCAGGCACCCTGGGGATTCCAGGGCAGCACAGTGGCACATGGACAGTCCTGAGGAAACAGGGCTGCCTGGCCGGCTGTGCTGGAGGTGGAGGTGTGGTTCAAGTGCAGAGAGGCAGGTGGTCGTCCTGTGTTCAGCTGTGGGAAGGTCCTGGGGGTGGTGTTTGCAGGACCCTGAGGGTGTGACACCATCCATGGATGGGGAGGCCCAGATGGGACCACAAAGCCACCACTGTAGATGTTTTCCCCACATGGCACATCCCTTAGCCTGAATTCTTATGTGGTAGAGTCTATGTCTGGGCTTTCTACCAGGTTTGGTTTGATTTTTCCTAGCTTTTCCCTAAACCATATCACATTGTTTTATGTTTTGTAGCTTTAAATTCCATTTAGAAGGAGGGTACAGTGGCACATGCCTATAATCTCAGTGACTCAGGAGGCTGAGGCAAGAGAATTGCAAGTCCAAGGCCAGCCTCAGCAACATAGTGAGACCCCATCACAAAATAAAAAAGATGTGGGGTATAACTCAGTGGTGGAATGCTTGCCTAGCATGCACCAGTCCTGGCTTCAATCCCCTACCTGCCAGGGAAAAAAGACAAAACCAGAATCTATGTAGCACCCATGGTGCAAGTGTCTTGCTTTCTTTGCTCATGCTGAAGTCCCGTTTTATTTTTTTACATCACATTTAGAAATGGTATGGGGTTTTGATGGGAATTACGTGCACACACAAGCTCTGGCTTCTGTGGAATGTTGCTGTAGCCAGTCTGGCCTCCTCACTGTTCCAGAGTGTTCCAGGGCTCCTCCTGACTCCTAGCTCTTCTCTGACTCCTAGTTCTTCTCTGGATCTGTGGGGTCCTGGCTGCCCGGGCTCTGCTGACAGCAGGGGTATTCTCCCAGACATATCCAGACAGCTCGCCCAGACACCCACACTGTGCCCTGTTGCTCCTCAGCAACCCACCATCTAGCGCTTGTGCTCTGCTCACAGTTCTGCTCATGGTCTCCCTTCCAGGGCAGGGGCATCTCAGCTGCACAGTTCTGCCCCCCAGGTTATCCTGACAATTTTTGGGATATTTTAGTGGTCACGGTTGGGGAGGGGGATTTGCTACTATCTCTGTGGGCAGAGGGAGGAGCAAAGTTACCTGTTCTGCCATGCACAGGACTGTCCTCCAGACAAGGTCACATAGCCCCAGTGCCAGTGGTGCTAAGGTGAAGATTGTACACCCAAGAGGTGTGTCTCAGTGTGGCTTGTGCCATCACCCTGTGTCTGATCCCACATAAGGCAGAGTGACAGGTCATGAGGGCAGTGGTGTGTAGCATTTAGGACCCCAGGCCCCAGTACAGGCATCCTGGGTTCACGTTCCAGTTCTGAAAAATGCGGCCGTTCTTACTTGTTGAGTGGTTCTAATTAACACAGCAGGATGGTGTGGATCTCTGACACCTCATCTCTCCTCACAGGAGGTGGCACATTGAGATCTGTTTTCCATTATCCTGGGCATCACTTCTTGTGCTGGCACTTGGCCAGCCAGCAGCTCTGTGGGTTTGGGGTATTATGTGATAAAGGGGACAAGAGGGCTCTTTTCTCAGAGCCCTTCAGAACCTTTCCTGCTCCAGGGAGTCCTGCTTCTACTATGCAGAAGACTTAGCAGCTGCACTGCCCTCACTTGGCCCTGGAATCTGTGCAAGAGAATGTCCTAAGACACAGAGGTGGAGCAGAGCCCCTATGGGCAGTGCCATCTTTTCAGGAGCCAGCTCTCTCTGGGTTTTCTCTTCCTGTAGGTGGAAGGTCACATCCCTTGGTCCATGCTCAGCCAGTTGTGGTCTTGGCACTGCTGTCCGCACAGTGGCCTGCATGCAACTTGAAGGAGGCCAGGACACTGAGGTGGATGAGGTATCCTGTGCAGCTCTGGTGCGGCCACAAGCCAGTGTCCCCTGCCTCCTCACTGACTGTACCTACCTGTGGCACGTTGGCACCTGGACAGAGGTCAGGGCTGCAGCCCATCAGACTTCCCAGTGGGACTGGGGTGGCATGAGCTGTGAGTCCTCACACACAAGGAGCCCTGCAGGCACTGATTCACTGTGGCCTCCTAAAGGAGGAGGGCGATCTCCTGGGGAAGGGGCTCCTAGAGACAGAAGGCACCACAGGCCCAATCGTGAGGCAGCTGGGCCTTCGGAGGCCAAGAGTGGAGACACTGGGGCACAAGGGCAGATAGTTCAGTCCTACGGAGAGCCACGGCCACCCTGTGCCAAGCACCAGAAAGACAAAGGCAAAGAGGACTCAGAATGCCCAGGAGGGCCTGGTTCAGTGGGGGTACAGGGGTGTACAGGGGTAGAACAGATGAGACGATCCACAGCCCCAGAGGCCTCCTCCAGGGCCACTTCCCACCTTGATCAGCAGGATCCTGGGCATCTGGGCTGGGCAGAGGTGAGGGCCAGAGTTGGGCAGGGTCTGATGGAATGTGGAGGAGGACACCCCAAGGGTGTCCTCATGGACTCATAGACTTTGGGGGGTAAAGGCTGTGAGGGTGATGGGGTGAGATGGGTTTGAATCCTAATTCTTGCTACATACATGACTCACTCCAGGGCCCTCACTGGACCTCAGTCTCCCAGCACATAGCATGGAGATACTTGTCACTCCCAGGTTGTGCGAGGACAATATCAGATACATCTGGCTGTGGCACTGCTGTCCTCATGGCCAGCGTGACTCCTGCCTCCTCTTTGCAGTGCTCTGTCTCCTGTGGGGATGGCATCCAGCGCCGGCATGCCACCTGCCATGGAGCCCAGGCACCTGTGCCAGCCAGCTTCTGCCAGCACTCACCCAAGCCAGCAACAGTGCGCAGCTGCCAAGCTGGGCCCTGTGAGGAGCAGGGGACCTTCCGCTCAGTGCCCCACAAAGAAGCCACTGACCCCAGCCAGACCACAGCTGCTGTTGCTTCTCTGGAGTGGCCCCAGGAAAGCCTGGTGGAGTCCAGTTAGGTTCCTTCCTCCTTTCTCTGTGGGAGGCTGGCTGCAGGGTGGGCAAAGCCACCTCTACCTGGGAAAGCCAAGACAAGCCCTCTGTCCTCTGGACCATATACTACTGGGCTCAGGGTAGACTCCCTTCCTGCTTGGCCAAGGGAAACCACACTTTTATTCATAACTGTCACCATCTAGTGACTTGCTGGGTGCAGCCTAGAGCCCAGGTCCCTGTGATACAACGCCAGTGCCCTGCACTGCCTCCTTCTCCCTGGAGCAGCTGGAAGCGGCTCTGCCTTAGATCACAATACTCTGATCCATGCAGTCCCATTCCTGACTTGAAGTGACTTCTTGCTGGGCCACCCTGTCCTGGCTCCTTGCACAGCAGGGAGAGCTGGGCCCTGTGCTGCTGGGACCCCCAGTGGCTATGCTCACCATGCTCCTCCTCCCTCTGTAGGTGCCTGTGGCAGGCAGCACCTGGAGCCCACAGGAACCATTGACATGCGAGGCCCAGGGCAGGCGGACTGTGTGGTGGCCATCGGGCGGCCCCTGGGTGAGGTGGTAATACTCCAAGTCCTTGAGAGCACCCTCAACTGCAGTGCAGGTACATCTGGGTTGTGTGGGCAATTGCTGCCAGTTACAGGCCTGCCAGGGGCCGGCATGACTCTAGCGCTCTTGCTGTTGGTGGGGTGCTCCACCTGCATGCCTGCTTTTCATGCTCGGGGTCATCTAATGACCGCGGGGTGAGTACTCATTTTGCAGAGGAGGAGCCTGAGGCTAGGAGAGATTGAATAACATGCCCCACTTGTCACACAGTAAGAAAGTGGTGGCTTGAACTCAACTCAGCCCACCAGGAGCACAGCGGCCGACCTGGAGTAGGAGTGCTGGGCCCTCACTGCCTGCTACTTTCCAGGAGAGAAGTTGCTGCTTTGGGGCCGGTTCATGTGGAAGAAGTTGTGTGGGAAGCTGTCTGGCCTGACTTTCAGCTCCAGGACCAACATTCTGGTGGCTAAGCTGCACCTTGTGTGGCCCGGAAGTGGAGTGCTGCTGGGGTACAGGAGCCAGCCTGCCCCTGGAACTTTCTACAGAGGTATAGCAAGGTGCTACCTCCTCAGAGGGCGACTGGGCCTGTGCTGCTGGCCAGGAATGGGGCTAGTTCCAGTGGGGCAGTGAGCAAGATGGGGAGCCAGCCACGAAGGAACCTGGGTATTCAGTGTTGCTCTGCATGTGCACAGTGTGGGTTCCGGAGGGGGCTGCAGCCCTTTTTCTCTGGGCCATGCAGCTGGACGGGGAGACATGGGACTTGGTCCACATCCTTGCCCAGTTCCTCAGGCCGTTGCCCTTGCCTTTCACTGGACATTCAGCTTCTTCAAGGTCCTTTTGTGAGCTGCTTTCCCTCAGTCCTCTTCTCATACACCTGCTTGTGCAAAAATGCACACTACCACACACCTCTCAGACAGAGGATGGCATCGCAGGGACTCCTGCCTTACCTGTGGTCGTACTGCAATGGTCTGCTAATGACCTTGGTTGCCTCAGGGACTTGCTGTCTTCCAGCAGCCCAAGGTGGCTCCAGAGATTGCTGGTCCCCCCATCGAATGTGAAAGTGTTGTGGGGAGTTCAAGTCCCTCCCTGCCCCTCAGCAGTGAGCTTGCTTGGGTCAAGGTCTCACTGCTCACTTCCTGCCCTCCCCCCTACATAAGCATCTGAGCCTTAGGGAGGCTCCAGAGGGGCAGCAGTTGGGGCACAAGTGGCTGCCATATTGGGCCCTGTTTTGTGCCAGTTTCACTGGTGAGTACTTGTGTAGCATAAGTGCATCAAGCCCTCCTGACAAATGCCTTCCACTGTAAAGGAGGGATGGAAGCTGGGAGCATTGAAAGCATTTGCTAAAGTCGCTCAGCTAGGATTGGTGGAGGGGGTTCCATGGGGGCTTTTCCTGGGAGCCTGACCTTAAGCCAGTGCTGCAAATCCCTCCACTGCTCCCAACTGTGACCTGCCCGACATCAGCAGCCTGTCTGGCTCCTGAGTCCCTGAGACCCACACTTGGTCTACCCACCTGCTCTCCCCTGCAGAATGTGACTTACAGCTCTTTGGACCCCAGGGTGAAATCGTGAGCCCCCTACTGAGTTCAGAGATGATGGGTGTAGGGGGCTGCCGGGTCTTCATCAGTGTGGCTCCACAGGCCCGGATTGCTATCCATGCTCTGGTCACCCACATGGACCCTAGAACTAAGGGAACCAACGCCAGCTATGTCTCAGTGAGTCCATGTGGGAATTTGCTGATTCTGGACAGCTGTCCTTTGGGTTGAGGATGGGGTTGCTGAGCTTAGGGGACCCCTTTCATTTACTTCAGATCAAAACCTCAGAATCATTAGTGAAAGAATGGGAGGAATTTCTTCCATTTATTCACCAAGAAGTGTTTATTGCACTACCTGCAAAAGGGAAGTAGGAAGGATCCCTTCTGTGTAGACAGCCAGTTAACCTGGAGTGGAAGCATGGGTTCCCGTTTCCCAGCCTGATGTAATTTGCCAGGAGAGCACAGGTGGTGGGGAGGCTTTTTGTCTTTGGGAGAACAGTGCTGTGCAAGGCCTCAGCTCCCACAGAGGAGGCAGCCTGGCTTCTGAATCAGGCCTGGTCCCATCCCAGCTCTGGCACTCTGGCTGTGTGTTCTGGGGAATGGTGTAACATCCCTGAGTCTCATTCTCCTGAGTAGAACAGGAGTGGCCACCTGACAGGGCTCTTGTGAGGATTAGATGTGATCCTGTATGTGTGGTAATTTGCATACACAGGCCTGTAGAAACACTGGCTAGTCATCCCTCAGGGCTGTTCCTTTTGCTTGTCCTCTTTCCTGCAGATCCGGGATGCCCACAGCCTGAGGACCACAACATTCCATGGGCAGCAGGCGCTCTACTGGGAGTCAGAGGGCAGTGAGGCTGAGGTGGAGTTTAGCCAGGGCTTCCTGGAGGCACATGCCAGCCTGCAGGGTCAGTACTGGACCCTCAATCCCAGAATGCCAGAAGAGCCCGGAGCACAGCCAGGCCCTGCCCTAGATTTCTCTCCAAGCTTTGGAAGGAAAGAGAATGAACCCAACACCTACTGAACACTAGTAGATGTCTGGGCAACCTGTAGGGTTTAACTCTGGTCTCAGAGTGCCTTCCAACTAGGACTTCCATCAATCTTAGGGATTCTTCTTTGGGGTCTTGGCTTTAGGTGTAGGAGGTGGAGACTCTTTGGGAAAGCAGTTCCCAGCCCTTCAGATGTCAATAAAGGAAATGGGAGGCCTGACCTGATGTTTTCTTCATGTAATCTGTCTAAACCTGGTTTGAAAACCCCCAAGGTGGGGATTCATTCGCCACCTTCAGTTGTCTTCCTCCTACTCAGGGAACAGGAAAGGCCAGGGAGAGTGGAGTCTGGACTGGGTCCTGAGGCTGGCGCACTCCCAACTCTCCGCAAAGACCCACTCCTCCCTCCTAGGTCAGTCCAGGTGGGAGGATTTGGTATGTATAGGTGCAGCTGCCGCCAGGCTCGCCCCCACGTAATGAATACCCAGCCCTTCGTGCGTACCTGCGAGCCCCGCCCTCTATGCTAATGTCCGTCAACTGCCAACCTCTTCTGCGGGACCGCCCCTTATGCTAATATCCATCAATCTCCACTACCCTGTATTGCTGGAAGGCCCCGCCCACCTTGTAAAGAGCAACCATCCCTCTCCCCGCCCTCTATGCCAGTGTTCACCTGTCTGGCAGGCTCCGCCCCTATGCTAATATCCACCAACCCTCTACCTCGCCGGCGGGCCCGCCTCCTATGCTAATGACCCTCTCCCACAAGGCAGCGCGCGGGCGGACCGGTCTTTGTGCCGGTCCGGGGCTCCACCGAGGCGCGGCGGCAGCATGAGCGGCTCAGGCGCTGCGGGGGCGTCGGCCAGCCCCGCGCCGCCCGCGCAGGAGGAGGGCATGACTTGGTGGTACCGTTGGCTGTGTCGCCTGTCAGGCGTGCTGGGGGCCATCTGTGAGTACCCGGCCGGGGGAGGAACCCGCGCGGGTCAGGTTTTCGCCAGACGTGGCGAAGCCGCTGGGAGCCGGCGCCCTCGGGGTTGCGGTGGTTCCCGGCCTCGGGCCTGGGCTTGGCCCCGAGACTGAGTTGGCTGTTCTGGGGCCATCAAAAGGGGAGCAGAGTCTCCCTGAAGTCGCCCTGCCCTTTCCCACCTGGGCGAGGTGGGACACCTGTTCCCAACCTTTGAGCAAAGCTTGTTCCTAAGTGGGGCGGGTGCAGATCTGGTCAGACTGTGGCAGGAAGGCACTGGCTGGGAAGTTTGCTGAGGGTCAGGTTGTGCAGGGGACAGGTGTTCCCTGAGGGCGGCTGGACAGTGGGCAGAAGGAGGCAACCTCTCCTTTGGATCCTCACTCTCCATTCTCTCTGCGGTCCACTGTGTTCATGCTGTCCTCCCTGCCTCTCGGTGGCCCTCCTTCTACCCTCCAGACCTGCCAGGCACACACCCCAACCTCAGGTTACCAGGAGAATGGGCTGTCTTAGCACAGGCTCAGAGAAGACAAAAGGAGCGAAGATCCGCCACACAGGTGAAGATCATGTTGCCAGCCTTCCAAAGCAAATAGGAGTCCATTGGCATGTCTGCTATCAACACTGTCACTTCCTGGAGCTTCAGGGCTGGGCTGGTCTTCGGAGTTGCTGGGATTCCAGTGTCTGCTTGGCACAGGGGGCTGGAGGCTTACAGGGGCAAACTCTTTTGCTCTCCTGCCAGAAGGAGCACCTGGGCATCTGCAAGCCCCAGCCTTGTGGTGAGCGAGGTGGAAGTTCTGGCAGGATGAGGCAGGGTTAGGAGCCTGCTGCAGGCAAGGTAGTTCCTATCCAAAGGCATAGCTCCTGTCCATTTGGGAGAGGTTGGTGGGGTGGAGGTCAGATTCTCTCAAGGATAGTTAGCTGTTTCCTGGCAGATCAGGTGGGCGTTACTGAGGGTGGCAGTGGTCAGTGGTGGAGAAAGGAAAGGTCCTGATCATGGCTTGCAGGTTGCCATCCTCCCTCCATCTTGGTCAGCGTGGCCTACCTGACTCCCAGGTTGACCCTGGAGTCCCATCCAATCCTGTTCTTCTCAAAGTGGGGTTGCCCCAAGAGTACTGGTGCTGTGTTGGGGCCACAAGTAAACTTCAGGAGACCTGTGCCACACCCTGAAGGGTCTGCTGCACCTGTGTATTTTGAGGGGGACATTGTCTTATGAGTACCAAATAGTATACCACAGGGCAGAATGCACACATGTAGGTGTTCTAGAGTGGCAGTGTTGCACACCTGTGCTCCCAGCTACTCAGTGCACTGAGGCAGGAGGATCACAAGTTTGGGACCAACCTCTGCAACGTTGGAGACCCTGTCTTAGAATTAAGAAAGGAATGGGGATGTGGCTTAGTGGTAGAGCACCCCTGGGTTCAATCCCCCCGTTACCCCCATCTCACACACACACCCGAGAGGGAGAGGGAGTGGGGAAGGAGAGATACAACATGGATTGTTTTAGAGATGTAACGGGTTTCCACAAGGGCTGTGCACCTGGCTGGTCACTTTGGGGTAGGGTTGCCCTCCCTGAGTTGAGAGGCCTTGGGGAGTTGGAGGGGCCTTAACCCCGGTCCTAAGGCCATCTGGAGGGATTAGCCAGGAGGAGAGAGGGTTGCGTGGCAACATCCCCTTAACACGGAAGACGTGGGCATTGGCAATCCTGGATGGACACCCATTAACTGCACATTGTCAAGGACTCCTGACTGGAGCCGTCTGTCTGTCTTGGACCTGGTCCTCCCCAAAGCCTGTGTTGTAAGGGCAGTGGGGGCAGCATCAGGCTGCAGGCGGGGATGCTGACTGCAGCAGGCTGCTCAGGTGAGACCAAGCCCAGCTACTCCTGGGCAGAAGCCATGCCATCCTTTGGCTCTCTGAAGGGGCAGTCAGTCCCCTGCATCTGTGACCTAGGGGAACCTTGCTGCTTGAGGCACGTTGATAAGAATGCCAAGGGCCACTTTTGAGTGCGTGGCACAGGAGGCAGTCCCACTCAGTTCCGGTCACTTATCCGGTTTCTTCCTGCATCGCCTACCGTCTGCATAGGGTTACACGGGAAAATGGAAAACGGCAGAATTCCAGGGCCAGGTGGAGGGATCAGGTGCAGAGGAGCTGCTGCAAGTTTAATGAGCTGGTTGCTGATTGCTGTGTCAGAGGGCTAGTGTCCCTTCCTGCCCTTTCCTGACCACCACTTGGGCTTGCTTCCCACCCAGCTCCCAGCTCCCTGGAATGGCCTGGCAGCTCCTGAAGCTCCTGCTGCAGCTGGGCCGTGGTAGAGGAGCGAGTGGGTGCAACAGCCTCTGCTCTGAGGTGCAGATGGGAAGAGAGGGGCATCAGGGATCCACATTCGGGGCAGGGGAGGACACGCCATCCCCTCTGGCCCTGTGGTGTTCTCACATCGGGTAGGTCGGCTACATACAGGGAAGGCCACTCAGCTGCTAGAGAGAGCTGAGCCGACTTCTGTCTCTCTGGTCCTGATGGCTGTTACACAGGAGAAGGAGCCTCTTGTCCCAAAGTCCCAGCCAAGGACTCCAAGTCTGAGGACTCCTTATATGGCCAGCCCATGAGTGGAGACAGGTGGCCCTCACTCAGACTCTGTCCTGAGCCTTTGAGTGACTTTATTCTTTAATCCTAACCACCCGTGAGGTGGCTGGATTCAGAGGACAGGTCCCTCCGGGCCTCAGAATGAAGGTGGGGGACGTCCTCTCGAGTGCCGGGAGCTGGCCAGCTCCGAGGTCCTGGACGAGCTGCGTCACCTCTCCAGCCTCCTGGCTTAGAGGGAGCCTCGAGCTGAGTGGTGGGCTGAGCTCTAGCCGAGTTCTCAGGGCCGCCCCGCGCCTCCCAGGCAGCCCTTCCATCAGCTCTGCCACCTCCCTGCTGACTCCTGCTGTGCTGCTTCTTTCAAGCTTGTGCCATCTCTGGACTCTTCAGCTGCATCACTATCTACCCTCTGAAAATTGCCGCTGGCGTGTGGATGATGTGAGTAGCACGTGGCTGTCCTGCCTGGCGGGGATTGGGGCCTGCGGACTTCAGGTACTGCGCGGGCCTTGTCCTCCTTCCCACTCACCGTCGTTCAGGTTTCTTAATGAGGAGTCGGGGGATGCCTGCCTGTGCCTTTCCTGGGTGCAGAATTGAGATGCTAAACAGTCCTTGAGCGTCCGTTGAGTCGGGCTCTTCAGACCCCTCTTCCAGCGTGATGTTCCTGCCCCCTGGGAGCTCCTGGGCTATAGTATGGAAGGGCTGTGGTCAGGGTGGCCAGGAGGGAGCTGGCCTGAGCTGGGAGAGGGGGGCGCTGCTGGGAGGTGGTGAGCAGTGCCAGAGGCGGTCCGGCGGGAGAAGCAGCCCTGTGCTGTGCAGGAGCCGGGGCTGCCACGCCACGGGCGAGCCCCTGCCCACGGACAGGCACAGGCAGGGCGGGGACTGGCGCAGTGCAGCTCTGGCACATGGTGTGGCACTGTGCTGTGTACTTGCTGGTATCCACGAGGGGCTGCAAGGGGCACTCGGGATGAGAGGCAGGCCCTGCCCTCAGACCTCAGGCCTGGGGGAGACTCGGGCAGGTGGGGGGGGACAGAGGCCTGTGCTGGCCTGAAGCAGCAGGGGTGGAGGCTGGTGAGTGGGGCATGGGAGGGTCCACTGGGCACAGAGGCCTGGGCGGATGCGGGGCTGTCTTGGAGGCCAAGGCAGCGACTAAGAGTTAAAAGAAAATTCCTGCCCGGGATTCCGGTCCTGAGGCTGCATCTCTGTAAAAGAGGTATTGATGGCACTTTCCTTTCAGGCTTGGGCAGACTGCCTGGCACACAGGGCTCAGTGCCTGGTAGCCGGCCATTACCCACGGGACAGGGCAGAAGCCCCAGGGGTCAGCTGCTCCCAGTGAGCGTGCTGGGGTAGAAGGCCTTTGAGCACCTTCCTCCCAGTGTGGGCTCCCACGGCCCTGCGTCTGCCTAGCCTACCTGTCCCTGGGCTCAGGACTCCATGGGGTCGGGCACCCATCATCACGCCTGCCTGACTGTGGGTGGCCTGGTGTCTGTCCTCCCTGGGGTGGTGATGTAGGTGATGGTGGCGATAGTGCTGCCACCTGGTGGAGCTGTGGGTACTCTGCATGGCTGAGCTTGCTATGGGCTCAGTGCCACTTGAGAGGGTCTTGTTCCTCTGTCACAGCCAAGAAGGACGACGGAGCCAGACGGCCAGCCTCTTCCGTCATGAGTGCTCAGTTCAGGCAGGGGCGTGGGTGTGTGGGCACAGCTGGGGGTGAAGTGCTTGGAAGAGGCTCCCTGGGGATAGCTGCTCCCTGCCCTGGAGTAGCTGGGCACTTCCTGGGTTGGGTGGGAAGGGTGGTCTTCCTCATGGTGCTGGTTTGCCCCTGGCTGCGGGTTGTCACCCAGCTGTCCCTCTCTCCCGCCCTTGCCCTAGCATGAACGCCTTCGTGCTGTTGCTGTGTGAGGCGCCCTTCTGCTGCCAGTTCGTGGAGTTTGCAAACACAGTGGCTGAGAGGGTGGACCGGCTGCGCTCCTGGCAGAAGGCTCTCTTCTACTGTGGGTGAGGGACTGCTGGGCAGAGCCCCTGACACGGCTCCCCAAAACCCTGCTGGCAACAGGACCAGAAGGGCCGCTGGTGAGGGTGGATGGGGCAGGTGCTGGTGCATGGGCTTCCTCTCTGGAGTGGGACTTGGTGGCCTCGGGTGGAATGACTGCATGATGGCTGCTGAAGAGTGTGGCCTAGCGGTCCCACATCTGGGCATCCAGTCTGTGAGGGTCAAAGATGGATGGGATTGAAGTGCCTGCAGCTTTGTGTGCAGTGAGACAGTAGCAGGCTCTGGGGGTTCGGTCCCTTGGTGGGGAGTTAGCAGATGTGGATCTGAAGGGGCCTTGCTGTGTGGCCTTTCACAGCAGCTTGGTTGGCCTAGGCGTCCTGATGAGAGCTGGAAACGCAGGATGGGGCTTGGAAATCATCATGGCCTCTAAATGTGCTTTGCTTCTACTTTCCTGTTTCCCACAAGTTCAGTATGTGGCTCTTCACATCAGAGTCACCAGACAGAACTGCCTGCAAGTAACTCATTAGGCGGGAGCTCTGAGAGCAGGCCCTTTGCACGGGAGGCTGGTTATTGTTCCTGATTATCTTTAAGATAAGTGCAGACTAGTGCTGCCTGGCAGCCTGCCCCTGAGAGCACAAACGCTGGTTTCTGCAGGCCCTCCTGTGTCTGAATGGTGAAGGATGACAGGATCAGAGACCCCACCCCCCCCTTTTTTTTTTCTTTTTTTGGTATTAGGGATTGAACCCAGAGGCGGTTAACCACTGAGCCATGTCCCTGGCCTTTTTTTTTTTTTTGAGACAGGGTCTCACTAGGTTATTAACAGCTTTGCTAGGTGGCTGAGGCTGGCCTCGAACCTGCAATCCTCCTGCCTTAGCCTCCTGAGCCATTGGGGTTACATGCGTGCACCACTGTGCCCAGCTGCATTTTCTTATTTGAGGACTTTCTGGTTACTTCACAGCCTGTTAGTGAATCACTTAGCAGGTTATGTGTGTTTCTTTATTAAAGATCCCATACCTCCTTACATTTCCTGCACATATTTTCTGGCCTGTTGTTTGCCTTGAGTTTTATTTTGAAGGTCTCCCCTGGGCTGTCCCTTCCTGTGGTTTCCGTTTGCTACTTTATTGCAGAGGTGCCTGGACTTACGATGGGGTCTTGGCCCACACATCCACTGCACGTCAGGTGTGCATGCACTGTTCTGCACCCAGGTGCCACCACTCAGCTCAGTGACGTCATGTGTGTGCAGAGCCTTGCGGCCATCCATGTGAACATTATGAGATGATGCCCTGACATGTGTCCAGAGCCTAGGAAGGATCAAAACCCAGATTGTAAGCACAGTTTCCACTGCGCCTGCAACCCTTTTGCACCATCGTAAAATTAAAAAAAAACAAAACACCCTAAGTTGAACCATCGCAAGCCAAGGTCAGACAGTCTGTAACTTTAAATGTGCAGCTGCAGTAACATCTAGAATGGAAACTCAGGTGGCATGCAGCTGGTGGAGTCTGATCTCCTCTCAGGAAGGTGGGACAGCTATTTTCCTGGCTGACCCAGGAGTCACTGCTGCTCTGGTGGCCAGGATCAAGAATCAGCTGCTGGGATTTTAAAGCCAGAGCAGACCACAGGCCAGGTGGCACCCAGCTGGGTGGGAACTGGCCTGGGCTGGGCCTTGCACAGGTCTGCACTGAGGAGCCTGAGGCCAGGGGTCTGAGGTGGGGACCCTACCTGTCAAGCTTTGGCTGGCTTTGCTTGCTCAGTGCCTATGGTTTCCAGGCCCCAGGTCAGCTGAGGCCTGACCTTATGTCACAGCAAAGGACTGAGCCTTAGAACTAAGCAACTTGGTCACAGGGATTTTTGTGAACAGATTCTCTGGGCACAGCCTCTCTCTATGAACAGGGAGGGCTTTGGACTCTTTGTAGGTCACAGACCTTGCTGAGAATCTGATGAGAGCTTTGGCTCCTCACCCCAGTAAGGCACAGGTGTTGGCAGCCTGTTGGGGCTACCCCATGGCTTCAGAAGCCCCACCTGAATGTGTGTCCCTGTTGGTTTCTGAGGATCCTTCTCCCCATCCCCCCACCAGAAGTCTGGAGGGATGGTGGTGGCACAGAGTGGCAGTGCCCCTTGACCTCTGTCTCTCCCCTAGGATGGCCGTCGTCCCCATCATCATGAGCCTGAGCCTGACCACACTGCTGGGCAATGCCATCGCCTTTGCCACAGGGGTGCTGTATGGACTCTCTGCCTTGGGCAAAAAGTGCGTCTGGGTGGGCCTCCTGCCTCCTGCTGTCCAGGGGGGAGGGCTGAGGGTGGACTCTGTTGTTCAGCTGTGGGAGTTGAGGCAAAGGGGTTGCCAGTGGCTCATCAGTTCTCTAGGGAATGCAGGCAAGACCACTGGGTGGCCTTTGGGTGGCCCGTGTCACTCTGCTTGGCCTCTGTCCATCCAGAGTGTATAGACCCCTCATATCCCGTTGCCACCCTCCCCCTGCTGAGCCCAGACTGAATAGATTTTCTCAACTCAACATCCAGGTAGCCTGTGCCAGTTTCAGAAGTGACCAGCCCTTTGTCCCCTAGCAGTAGCCTCTGTCTGGGGAACCAGAGGCCCAGTAGGCTCTGCCTGCAGTCATGCCTGGATTGGGTGGTAGCCAGGAGGGCTGGGCCTGAGGCTGGGCCCTGCAGGACACCCCCGCTCTCTCCCCAGGGGTGATGCCATCTCCTATGCCCGGATCCAGCAGCAGAGGCAGCAGGCAGACGAAGAGAAGCTGGCAGAGACCCTGGAGGGGGAGCTGTGACGAGTCCACAGTGGGGTCCATGAGCTTCTATGGAGGAGGCAGAGCACCAGCCCTATGGGACAGCCTGGGAGAGGACCCCCTGCTGCCTGACCCTCTTCTGCCAGCCTGTTCTCCAAGCCTGGAGCCTGACTTGGCTGGTGCTCAGGGCCTGGGCTGTATGGCCCATCTCAGTGCAGTGGGGGTGGCCACCTGGCCTGATCCTGCCAGCCTGGCTTAGTGGACTGGGCTTCTGGTGGGTCTGCAGGCCTCACGTGATAGGGTCCACCCCAGGCCTAGAAGCAGCTTCCCCCAGACACACTGGCCCTGGCTGGGAGTTGAGAGGCATGTCACCTGGGCTCTGGACTCCCCAACCAGGTCCCTGAGGCCTGAGCACTGAAGCATAGGGAAAGTCTCCCAGCTCTCCTGGCAGGTAGAGTTCCAATCCTGCCCAGTTTCCCTGTCCTCAGGGCAGAGGTTGGGGAGAACAATGTCTCCAAGCTGACTGCTGCTGCCCAGGGACATGGCCAGTCCTCTGGGAGGGAGCCCATAGTGCTCCCAAGATGCACCCCTGCCCCCACAGCAGGCCTGGCAGTGGCTGGCTGGTCAGGTGGACCCACTCCCAGTCCCTGGCATGTTGGACAGGCTCCTCCAGGTACCCTAGCTGCTCTGCCTTCTCAGCTGACCCAGGCTGCTGGCTTCTGCCTCTCACTCCACCTCAGGCCCTGGTGCTAAGGGGGTGGGGAGGGGTGCTTATAGGGTCCCACCCACTCCTCTGCTGTGGTCCTGTTGGTGGTAGCAGCTGCAGCAGCCTGTAGTAGGGACTGAGCTTGGTCCACCTCAGGTATGCTTGCCAGCCTGCCCCTGGGGAGCTTCCTGCCTTTGCAGAGCTGGGCAGAAGCCAGAGCCCATCTCCCCCACAGAGCTGTATCCCCTGTCCCAGTGCCAGGCCACCAGGCACAAGCCCCTATGCAGGCACATGGGGAAGCGGGGACCCCTCCTGGATGTATCCGTTCATGGCCCTCATCCTCCTGCCACACTGCTGACTCTTCCTCCTGCCCTGTGGCCTTGACCCTGGTTTGATTAGCAGATTGGCTCTTGGCCACTAAGCATATGTCTGACAAGGTCTGGCCACGCCTGGGCAGAATAGGCTGCTGTGGAAAACGCTGCTTCTGGGCCCAGCTCCCTGTCTCCCTCCCTCCCAAACCCCCAGGTGGGCCTGCAGTGGACCCCCAGAACTCAGGGACTGGCTCTTGCTCCCAGGAAAGCAGCCCCAGGTCTGTTTCCCAGGGGGAACATGCAGGCCTGCAGAGTTTGGGGCTGGGAGCAGGGCCTCTGCCCAGCACTGCCCCAGGACACGTCAGTGGGGTCTGGAGTGGGCCTTGGCCCTCCAGGATCCTGGCCAGGCTCAGTCCTAGGTTGGTGGGACACGTGCCTTCAGGGTTCCTTAAGGGCTACCATCCTCAGGCCCATGCTGGGCTCAAAGGGCTATGCGTGTGTGTGCAGTGGTAAGACCCGTCTACCTCCCGGGAGGAGCAGCCCTGTCTGCCCCCCTGCTCACTTGTCTGGGTGTGGGGCTTGAGTCACTCCTGCCAGGCCCCAACCCTTTCAGAGGGACCTCGCTGCAGGTGCAGGGAGAGGAGGTGCTGGCTGTGCTGTTAAGGAAGGTGACATCCACCTCGAGGGGAAACCCAGTGCTGGGCTGGGCAGGCCACAGGGTGGGTCGGAGGCAGGAGGGCCTTGGTCACAGGCCAGAGTGGGGTGTTGCTTGCCAGGAGATTCCCAGGTGGCCTGCAGTCAGCTCTGGAGGCCCGCATCGGGGGCGGGGGACATCACTGGGACTCCAGCCCCACACCTCCTCTGTGCCCGTTCCTGGTGGGCTCCTCCACGCGGCTGCATTTTGAGCAGTAAAGCAGGGCTGCAGTTCCTCCGCTTGCTCTCTGCTGTTACCTTCTGTCTCTGGCGTCTGTCAGCAGTAGGGATACCCGTGTCCATGACGGCGGAGCAGGAGCTGCTGGCCCAGGAGTAACTGAAGGCCCTGTCAGCCTGCTTAGACAGGGAAAGGGGCTCCAAGGTGACACACCACACTGCCCCTCCTGCCTCTCTGCTGCACTGAGCTCAAGTCCAGAGTGACCATGAATTTAGGGCCCTACTGGGCCAGCAGGCTCTGAAGCCGTGGCCGGTGTCTGGTCTGGCCTGCCTGCAGAGGTGGGGAGCCTCCTCCAGCTAAAGACCCCACTCCTTCCTCCATAGGGCTGCAGGCCCAACTTATTTATTTTTGTAAATAGGGTGAACACAGTTTGCAGATGGTTGCCCCTATCCCTGAGGTGGGGCTGATGTGGGGCAAGTGGCTGTCCTGTGCCCTGGCCTCTGGAAGTAGGGCATATGTTGCTGCATGATGTCCACAGACCCTCCTGTCCACAGCAAGACGCCTGGAGGAGGCTAAGTGACGATGTTCCTGTACTGAGCCAATGCCACCTCCAGTGCTGCTCTGTCCTCCACACGGCCTGGCACACTCCAAGGGCCAGCCTGAGAGCCAGCAGGTCTGTGCCACCTCCTGCAGGCCGCCTGAGCCGGAGCGTGCTGCCTGTCCAGTCAGAAGCAGGTCCTGGTTGGCCCTGTGCTGCGGCTCATAGGAGTGACGGCTGTGCCGCGTCCCGGCTGCAGGGCATGGGTTTGTGGCCACCAAGGAGGCCTAGCCACCTGGCAGGTAGATCCCTGGCCTAGTGCAGGAAGGACCTCCTCCTGCTGAAGAAGGACTCGATCTGCTCCAGGGAGCGGCCCTTGGTCTCAGGCACACAACAGCCCGTGAACACTAGGCTCACCAGGCAGATGGCCGCGAAGAAGAAGAAGGGCACCTGGAGGCTGAAGGCTTTCTGAGGGGGGGAGCAGAAGGTGGGTCACACAGGAGGCCTGTGGGGCCTCTCCCAGGACCTGCCTCCCTGGGGGTCCCCTTGGGGCTGGTCTAGGTGTTCCTGGAGGCTCCGCTCTGCACCCTCTAGCAGCAGTGTGCACCCAGCTCTGTGCTCCGCCCTGGCCCAGGCCGCTCCAGTCAGCTGCTCGTGGGATTTTAGAGCAGGGCTGGTTCTGGTGCCACCAGGGCCTGCTGGCTGCAGCAGGAGGTGGGCTGGTGAGTGGGCAGCGCCTGGGATGGCAAGCCTGAGTGTGGATGTTGCGCTCTCGGCTGCTGGCAGAGCTCCAGGCTGTGTCCTGGCCTGGAGGGGACCTGACTTCTCAGGACAGTTCCCCAACTCATTCTCATATCTTAAAACGCAGGGGCCTTGGTGTGCTGCGCCCTGACAATCCTCAGCCTTCTAGTAAGGGGCACGTGCTCTTCTCCCTTGAACACTGTGGGGTTGGGTCCCTTCGCAGAAGGCCTGGCACCACATAGGGGCCCATGGCAAACACTTACCACCACCAGCAGGAAGGACTTGGTGAGGACGAAGGCGGTGAGCCAGCTGACCAGCACACAGAGCCCTGAGGCTACGCCACGGGCACGCAAGGGCAGGATCTCTGACATGAGCAGCCAAGTGATGGGCCCCCAGCCCATGGCATAGCCTGCCAGGAGAGGGGAGAGTGGCGGGGGGGCACACCGGGTCTGTCCCCACCTCTCCAGCCTCCCCCCTCAGCAGACAAACAGGACAGCAGTACGGCCCCTGCCTCACCCGTGAGACAGCCCCTCACCCAGGCCATCACCCCACCCCCAGGAACCCCAGTCCTACCCATGATGAAGAACATGGTGGCCAGGAGGGGCACCAGAGTGAGGTAGCTGGTGGGTGTGGCCGGGGGCTGCTCTGTGCCTGCCAAGGACAGGGTCTCGAGGCTCACAGTGCTGTTGGGGGCCAGAGGCCTTGGACCAAATTGGACATACAGCCCCAGCGTCAGGTTGGCAGCAAACATGATGGTTGCTGTGGACACAGGTGGCCCTCGGGGGCCAGGACCCTCTGAGCCATGGCTCTCCTGGGGGAGCTGTCATGCTCTGTGGCACCCTGAGCCGGGCAGCATGGCTGGCTTGGGACAGGCCTCCCACAGGGTAGCACACGCACTGCCAGCCCTGGTCTGGGCTCCCCTCACCCCCGGTGCGTTGCTCACCCGAGCTCCAGCAGGCTTTCCGGAGCAGCTGGCTGGTGCCAGGTGCTGGGGAGGCCCCAGGTGGCTGTGCCCTAGCTCTGGCACAAGTGGCAATGGGTAGAGACGCTGTGGGTGGGAGGGGAGGAGTGGGGCAGAGAGCCTCACCTGACACGAAGAGCAGGACCTTGCGGCCAGCCAGGTCCATGGTGAAGGCTGCGATCAGCACGGACAGAAGCCTCACGGCTCCCACAATGGCTGCATCATCTTTGGGGGGCTGTGGGGAGGAGACCCCTGAGGCTGAGAGGACTGGCCTGCTGCTCCTGTCCCTGCTTCTCATCCCACCTGATTGCCTAAGGCCCTGCAGGGTGCTCAGACCCAAGGCCACAGTCACAGCTACCCTGGAGTGCCGAGTGCCTGCTGTGTGCCAGGCGCTTCCTCTGCACACCACCCTGGGGTTCCCAGCAGGGCACATCTGCCATGCTCACCACTGAGCCCACTGCCCCAGGAAACCTGCTGTTCTCAAATCCTCTCCACTGCGTCTGGACAGGGGTCTTGGCAGCCTTGCTGCTATCTCCCTCCCACAGGGGCAGCTGGCGTCCCAGGAAAGTGGCAGCCTCCCTGAGGAGCCAGCAGGGCTCTGAGCAGAATCCTGGTATGGGGGTGGTGGTGCTGCGTTTCTATTAAATCAGTTTCCTCCATCATCTTGCATAATTTATTTAAAACCATTTAAACTTTACTTAAAAACAAATTCTGAGAGCAGGTGCGTGGCCCAGAGACAGGAAGAACCCTTTGGCCTCCACACATGAGGGTGTGCATGCCCGAACTCTGGCACAGCAGGGCCTGGGGCTGGGGATCGGGGCTGAGCCGGTCCGCCAGCCCACCTGGACTCAGGCAGGCGCTCACCAGCAGCACGGTTGTGCTGTCGAAGATGGGCTGCAGGTAGACCAGTATGGGCGTGATGCCTGTCAGCTGCTGCAGGAAACGCATGAGCAGGGCAATGAGCACCGGACGGTATATGTGGGGGTCCCGGGCCTCCGCCCACGACACTCGGCTGCTCTGGAACACAAGGCCGTTGCTGAGGGAGCTGCACTGGCCACTCTTGGGGCTGGGGAGACCCCGCTGATGGAGACAGCCCCAGCTCTGGGTCAGCTGTAACCACCTTATTCCAAGAAAAGCAACCTGGGAGAG